TTTTAATTGGGGGGCTTCTCTTATTTTAAAGAAAAACATTCAAGAGGAAAAGGGGGCTAGGAATTAGTTGAGGTTCAAAACGGTGAAGTGGGGTCTCCATATTTTTTTTTGATCCTGACGAACCCTATTCTTCTATGAATGGTTGCTGTCGTGTTTTGTGTTTGTGTTTGAGAAATGAAATGATATCGGTGGATAAAGCTACGTGCAGCGACAATGTGGGAACCAGCCATGATAAAGGTGAGATGGTTGGGCAGCTGATTCCAGGTGCGACTTGTGGTATGTAACTGCGTCCTGGAAATTTTCAGAGCGGCGAGTACAAAAGCCAAAGGAAACCAAATCTGTTGAAAGGAATATTCATGTGCTCTACTCAATGTTTCCCTCTCGTTTTAATCACTGCTTTGCGTTTTCATAGCAGGTTTTGAGCGAGAAAACCCTTTGTGAATGATTACGCTTCTGTTGGTTTTACATGATTAATGCCTGTTTCTGGTTAACACTTTCTTTTCCTCAAATACACTTCTTATATTCCTTTTTACGTAGTTGGTTCGCGTTGCTTCGGTATGTATTTTTTGATGATTGGTAGTGGGGTTAGATGGCGGGGTATGAAAGTCTTGTTATCAAAATTTATGTCTTCTTGAGTCCATAGTTATTTTCGGCATGTGGTTCCCCCTCCCCTTCCCGGTTGTTCCAGACGCATATTTTTTTTACGTTCCCTTAAGTCTCCCGGATGATCATGTCTTATTTATCTCATTGCGTCTTAGGCCCGTTTCCCATCCATCATATCCTTATCGTAGCGGGCACCTGAGAGAGGAACTTGGGCACGAGACTATACATCGTTGTGCCTGTACCTACTTGGTGTCCCTGACAATTACATACAGTCTCCCGGGAGAGGGGGGTTTCCCCTTGCTGACCTTTTTTCTTCTCCTGTCTGTCTGTAAGGCTGCTTTTTCCTGCCCCTCGTGACCTTGCAATATGCTTCCCCAACCAACTCGCCCACGATATCGATGTGATTTCGATGACCAAGCCACATAGATACTTCTCCCCGATTTAATTGTGGGGAGCACATACATGCCCATACGCATCCAACGGCCGGATTCCAGACTGTCACTTACGCACGTGGGTGGGGGAGTGGAGGGGGAAGTAGAAGGTGGGAAAAGGTGGAAATGGGGGATGACTACATGTACCCTAGACGCGGGGTGTAGAGATTACTCCTGTTTTTATTATTTTATTTTATTTTTACGATTAGGATTTCCGATTTCCGATTTATGATTCCGATGTTTTTCGTTCTTCCCCCTGTTTTTTTTTTTTTCTTCTCCTCTTCGATGGCTACATAGCCAGGTAGGGGGGAGGTATCCGGGAAGGTTAGTATGGGATGGATGTTGCGTTGCGTTGCGCAATGCCTCTCTGGTGATATGACAGCTTGTGATAACGAATAGAAAATGTATACCATGAATCTTGGCAATCATGAGTTACATTTATGTAGTGTGTTTGTTCCCTTTACTCGGGAACATTTTACGCTTCGGTTTCACTCTTTTGCGATTTCTCTTAAGAAATCCGTTCGATATCACCCCCGCCGCTCCATCTGTCCCGGATTCTTTTGCTCTCGGATTGCTTCTTTTGGGGCGGTTTTGTGATATGAATGTGTGGAGATGATATGGGCAGGTTCTGCCCCGTATCAGATCTTACCTACTCATATCGATATCTACCCGTTCATCCGGGACATCTCTTGAATAAGTCGGTTTGGTAGATGGAAGGAGGTGAGTGAACTGTGTTTCTGTGATGTAGAAGTGATTAATTGAGACTTGTGATATCTCAACACTTTCCTCAAGCCCTTTTCGCCATATTTCAGAAGGCCCCTAGGCTAGGTGGACGTGACCAACTCCTCCTATCATGTACCAGTACCTATAGACCCACATATCTTTCAATCGCGATACTCCGGGAGTGACCAGGGTAGATCGACCAGGTAATCTTTAGTTTTCCTTAAACGGTGGGAAAGAGTGTCGGGTTGATATTTCGAATCGCTTTTCTCTACCTCCGGTTTTGGTGGTGGCCGGGGTAGGGAGATATGTATGGATGGAACGGGAGAGATCCAAATTCCAAAACGAACCCTTTTCGGAAGCTGCCGAGGGCCCCTCTCATCCCCTCCCCCGCAATACGCACGGACCAACGCTTGCGGAGCCGCATGGGTCTGGACTCTGGACTACAGAGCGGTTGTGGCTGTGGCTGTTGACCATGACTAAGGCACATGGTACCGCAAACCTCAATGTTACTAGGATCCACAGCAGAAGGTGATTCTGGCGATTCTGGCGGAGATGGGTCTATGTACCGTAATAGTAGGCACTAGGATCTAAAGTACATACTTACCTTCAAGATGTGGGCATAAATACTAATTGGTACATGTATGTAGCCAACCGACCTGCCATCTATCAGCCACAGAACCTTAGAGGTCTTTCTTGACAAGACCGGTATACCCTATATGATAATACCGTCCGACCTTGTAATATCTTCGTAACGTTTTTTATTACAATAGCAGCCCCATAATCTTGAAAGGGCTCACTCACTCGCTTTCTCGCCCCCTCACACCGAGAAGCAGCTTTCTGTCTCTCCCCGTCTCGTTTTTTCTTTTTTTTCCTCGAGGCCTTACTTTTTTCCATTCCCCGGTCAAATACGGGGGCGTTTGAACGTTCAGCCGCGGTGGATAGATAGAGTATGTAGATAGATATCGGGGCATGCAGCCTCGGAATCTCGCGGTTCGTAGGATTACCGTACCGTCCAAAGAAAAGAAAGGGAAAAAAGCAAGAAAGTGGCGAGAAGTGAAGTGCATTGGCATTTTTCGTTGTTTTTTCTTGTTTTTGTGTTTAATGGCTCTCCGATTCGTACCGATGGTATTAACCAGTAACCCGATCCGCGGGAATCAGAAAAAAAAAAAAAAAAAAAAAAAACTGTGAGGTGGGCAGATCTAGATTGGTGGTGGAGGGGTGGTGAGTGATGGTTGGTGATCCGGGATAGGTTGCGCTTTCACGCGTCTAGAGATTCGTATTGTGAGTAGGATAATTTTGGCAAGGTATGATAGGTACTTCCGTTTGGTTTGAAGTGAGGTGTTTTACTTATCTAGGATGGATTAACGATGTTTGCTCTCCGCGGATCCGGGACAGCCCTGCCGCGAGCGCAGGTGACCAAGCGCGGGGTATTCGCCGTGAATGACATGTATGTAGGTATACCATCCAAAGCGACTGATGCTCGCTGGCTGTGATGCCCAAATGGTGGTTGGTTCCAATCCAACCTCCATCCTGGTCACCGAGAAAGAAACACACAGCCCTGATCTCATCTTTAGAAGACCGAAGACCGACCCAAGAAAAAACGGATCCCGCTGCAGTGGTGGCCCCAAGCCTATAAGGGCAGAAGGCCTGGGCTGTCTGTCTTGTCTCGGTGATTTGTCAATATGGTGAAGAAGGAGGAGAGATGAAGAGCCTCTTGCTTCTAATATATAGCTCAGCTATGACGACAACTGTCGTCACCTGTCTCGAAGACCTGCACACACAAGTAGATCAATTATACATAACCCTAGCCTGATAGGCTTGAGTATGCAGTATCGACACCCCTCACAGTCCCCTATTTCTGAAGCTATCTGGTTTTTCAAAATTATGCATATTCCAACACGATGTCTAGCTACATAGGCACCTGAGTTCCCAGACAGCGAGAATACTATCTGCACTTATTTACAGTATATTAGACAGTCTACAGCTAGCACGGCTTACCGAATGCATTATCTTGGGTTGGGGAAGGTGTGGATGAATGGAATTAAATCTCAACCCTTCCCCAATTAGAGAAACCTTATTCGGATGTCCAACCAACCTCCGCAAGAACTTCTACTAAAGTACCGACCAAGCCTCAAGACATCGGCCTTCTTTTCCGTCCAACGCACTTTTAACAATCAACCAAGAGTAAGCCTACTTCACGGATTATCACTCGGAGAAAGATTCTGTCCCGTTGCAGCGAAAACATCTACGCCATTCTCGTAAGAAGGATAAAAGTTGGGTTATTTAGGGGCTAGAAACTTTATATACCTCCCTGTGCCCAAACTTACAGCGACGACTATGTGTGTACTCATCCTTTCTGTCCACACGCGCCCAAGACAGGCAATCTTCCCACCATCATTGCAGGCCAACATCGAGTGATCACCCATGACGGCCATGACGGCCCGACACCCTCTAACATCATACCGGCCACCAAGCTCTCAACAGGTACATCTTGGCACGATAAACACATTGTGTGACTACACCCCCCTCCCCCCAAGTGAGAGCTACCCCCCCCCCAAGTACATCAGAACCGTCACCAGCACCATCTTCCAACAAGCCCCATCTCCCACTCCCACTCCCACACTCCCCCGCTCCCACCAACAAACCCAATTTCTGCATGCACCCTAACTCATACCCTCGGGACAGCTTGCACGAGGACGACATGGCCATAAATATATACGCATTTTGACCCCCGTACGTACGTAAGCTGACAGGCGCGGGTTAATCCGTCATCTCCTTGGAAGCTGTGCCGGGTGGGGTGCATGCATACTAGTGGGGTTAACACCGCGTGTTAGGATATAAGCATAACGAGAGGGACTTGGGTCGATTGCCATGTGCAAGATGGATTGTGTCGTTTCCGGAAGGAGAAGATGTGGTGACTACAAGGCTTATCCGGCCGTTGCCCATATGCTTGCAAAGGTGGGAATGGCCGGAGAGCCCAATCTAAAAGAGGTGAAAAAAGAACAAAAGCAGAGAAGAAAATGAATTTATATGTATCACCCCCAGTATACATCACCCACGGTACTTTTTTCTTCCGCGCTCAAATCAAACAGTACAAAAATAACCCCCAGCCTCTATCAAGCTCTCGATTCATAGTAGTTAAGAAAAAGGATATATAAAATACGCACTAAATAGTAGCCCTCCCCACCATGCGACAACGACAACAACTCCATGCAAACTATCGACCTACAATAAAACTAGCATCTACAGTACCAGGCTTCCAGGATCCTTCTCCAAGTACCCCTTAACCTTCTCCAAGAACACCTTTGCTCGCGCCTCCTCTATCCTTGGTACAACCAGGCTGAAGACGTTTGGCTCTGTCGCAGCGATTCCGGAGTGCGGTGGGAGGACTTTCTTGGCTGGGGTAGGTGCGGTAGTTCCGGCGAGGATATCGATTATATCAAGCTCTGCTGATGGTGCAGAGTCAACGAATGTGGCTGATGGGAGTGCGGTGATCTGGGGAGTGAAAGTCCCGCGGGAGGCCTTGGGGGTGCGAGAAGACGGAAAACCGAGAATCTCATCGAAGAGCTCGGCGGCAGTGGGGGGAAGAGGCGAGGCGGGGAGGTTCTGGTTGGCTTTCTCGGTAGCTTTGGTGATGAATGATGAAAGAGGGAGGTGGACGCCGAGGGTTGCTATTTCACATTGTCAATATTCCGCAATTTCGGAGAGTAAGTTCTAAGACGTAGACGTACCTTGAAGCTTGCTCTGCACCTTCAAAACCTCGCTGAATGAAACCTCCAACATCAATTCACTATCCCGAGGAACCTCGACCTTCTTCTCCTCCACAGCCTTCTTGGGGGCAGGTTCCTTCTTCTTCGGCGGTGCAATCTTGATATTGCTCAAGTCCAACTTCCCGCCCTTCGCAATCCTGCTCCCCAGCTCCTTCGGCCAGCCCTTCTCAATTGTTCCGAGGAACGCCAGAACATCTCCCTTCAACAACCTTCCCTTTGGCCCAGTCCCCGCAATTCGCGAAGCATCCTCCTTCGAGACTCCATGCGTGCGGAGCAGGTGCGCAACTGATGGAGATGGTGTGGTGGGGGTCACGGGAGTGGCGTGGTTCTGAGCTGTGTCGGGCGTAGAGGAAGCTGAAGACTCTACCTTAGCCGGCCTGTCTTCCGGCGGTGGTGAGGTGGTGTCTTTCTTTGCGGATTTCTTGTCGACTGATTTGGGTCCAGGGCCGGCGTTGTCCTCGGCCGGGAGCTCAAGGGCGGATATATCATCACCCTGCTCTGCGATGACGGCAATACGGGTGCCGACCTGAACAGCTTTGGCTCCGGCATTGATCTAATCCCAATAAGTAGCTGTGTGGCGGGTATGTAAAAAGTAGTAAATATACCATTATCTTAGCCATGATACCGTCTTCCTGGGCCTCGACATCCATCTGGGCCTTATCGGTCTCAATCTCCAACAGGACATCTCCCGCAGAAAACTCATCACCTGCCCACCCCACAATTCCATCAGTATTTAGTCCCAATCTCTTCTTTATTATCGTGTAGTAATTTTGTCTAGAGATAGATGAGAAGCCACCAACCTTCCTTAACCTTCCAGCTACCAATGGTGCCCTCAGTCATGGTCGGACTCAGCGCAGGCATGTTCAAGTTCGAAGCGGCATTGTTCGCAGCCGTCGCTCGAATCCCTGTGAATAATAACAATGTTAGCCATAGCTGTAATTGCCCCCACAACGATCATTCCCAAAATCGTGGCGGCGGCGGAGGTGCCGCTAAGAGAGGGACCTCTATACCTCTGGTAAGAACCTGTCGCCGTAATGGAGCACTGGGGACAGTGCCAATTAGCCTGTTTGAGAGTCGGCGGAACGAAGCAGACATTATTAGAGATTTACGGAGGAGGAGGGATATGGCGTCGTTGTCGAGTAATGGTGTTGGGGGGAACAGGTTGTTGACGGAGGAACTCGAAGAGGTTGTTGGGGGGGAGTAGTGGAGGTGGTGGTGGTGGTGGTGGGCGTTGAACTTTTTTGATTGTGGTTCCCGCTTCCGCCAGCCAGCCATCCAGCCAGCCAGCCAGCCAGCTTCTCACTTCACTTCACTCGGAGTGGTTTTTTTGTCGTTGGACCAGGGTGAAACTTCCCTCGCCCAACAAAAAAATCGCTAATTTTCTAGAAGGGCCAGAAAGGAAACCCTTATCTACGAAACAGGATAATTATTTCTCCGTTGGAATTTGCAAGCTGTTTGAGTTACCGTGCGCTTGGCGGTAGATACAGCTTTTCTCCTTCTATCACTTAGGTGCTGTGCTGTGTTGGGGAAAGCGCTGAAAAATTCTGAAGGGTTTTCGGATTTCTCGGCGCCGCCAGCCAGAACCGGAACTAGTGCTCGGCATGCCGAGAGGTTTTATGTCCCCTGTTTGGATTGATCCCGATGCATGTAGCCCGGCCTGTTTTACTGGAGATAGAGGAATACATGACCTATTATTGATTGCGAAGACCATCGATACAGTATACAGTGTACACAGCCTATGAGTCTTCATGGGATTCACATCCCCTCGTAATTCTCCTAGACAGGTTGATCGCTACAATTAGCACTGTAGCGCGTAGACCGCTTCGGAGATGACATGAAGGGCTGTCTGCTGACAGGAACAGTCTTTTGAAATAGAGATCGTTTTCTCCGACACAAGCCACAGTTGATTTGTAGTAGCCTCTTTGTTGTTGTATACATATAAGCACCTAAGCACTCATAGGAGGTCATCTGGGCCGCCGCCAGAACCCGAGTGATATTACATGCACCGCCACTGCAACCATCATCCCGTGGAGTGATTGATACCTACTGTTACCCAATCTACAGAAACCACCACAGTGCTCCCTAAAATATCTCCAACTGCGAGATATAAATATATACAGATATCTACATTTTCACCTTCTCCTTCTCCTACATAGCCTGCTTAAAGAGCATATCCAGGCCCCTCTTCTCCCACACCCACCCATCCTTACTCAACCTAAACTTCCCCTCTCCCTCAGCCCTCAGCAGCACAAACCCACTCGTGCTCAACGCGCTCCTAAAGAAATCAAACACCTTGAACGGCGCGCCCGTAACTCCATGCCTAATCTTCGTCACCACATTCCTCGTATCCTGAACCTGGGTCTCCACCGCCGGCGCCGCCTTCAACACGCCAATCGGCTGCAGCGGCTCTCCCAGCGAGATAAGATCCGGCGACGCAATCTCAATCTTCTTCATCGGGAGTGTTGGCAAGATTGGGCGGCGATGCAGCGTGATCGAGACACTGGCGGGGGAGCGCGCAGTCGCGGGGATGGGGTGGGCATGGATGACCTGAATGAGGCGGGTTGGGTAGTATGCGACGCCCAAGGCGAGCACCATCATGATTGAGATGCTGACATAGGTTGTCTTTACGACCCATTCCGGCATGCCTGGGCGCCTGTTTGCGATGTTGGTCTTGAACGTGTAGACGCTCCAAGCGATCATTCCCGCAGCGAGACCGTAGCAGCCGACGACAAAGAGGCGGTTGTTGCATGCGTAGAGCAGGATTTTCTTTTTGCCCGAGTTTCCCAGCTGCTCGGCGGGTGAGAAGTATTTTGGTGCTGCTGCTAGGGGAGGCGCTGTCTTGAGCGGTGCAGCTGCTGATATGGGCTTCTTTTTCACGGCATCGGGAGTCTTCTTTTTGGCGGCCTTGGGGGCGGCGGAGGAGGCTTTCTTGCTGGCATTCCGTACGAGCTGGTGCTGGAAGAGTTGGGGCCTGAACAGGCCAGCGGTTGCTGTCTGGCATGAGGAGAGATGCTGGAGGAGGGGCAGCAGCTGCGGGGCTTCTCGCGGAAGGAGAGATCGGCCGCAGATAGAGGACACCATATTTTGAAAAGCGGGTCTTAATTAACTGATCGGTATGCGCTCTTCTGATCACAAGATACTGGGTTTCGAAGTTTCGCCAGAGCCTTCAATTCTCCCAGGACCTGGGCTTTCGGCTGGTAGACGCTCAATTGTGTGGATTGCCTGGGGCTGCGGCTCTCGCAAAGCAAGCACTGCGTGCCAAGCACTCTGTTTCCGCATCCGTAAAGTGCGAAGCAGTAATTAGTGCAGCATGGCTGGTCACTCGAATGGGTTGGCAAGCTAATGTAGGCAACACTCCCAACAACTACATGTATCCCTTCGTTCGTCAGAGCAAAAACGGAGACATATTAGGCCCACGACGGCGTGGTGATGTTCGGAAAATCTAGCTACCTACGGACTGTGGAGACACCAGAAAAAGGTATAGGAGGGGTCACAGAAGGTGACTTTACAGCAAAAGGTTCACGGAATAAGGGCTAGGTTTATTACCGAGTAAAAGTTGCCTACTAGCCCACAGTCGTGAAAACACACGAAGGGATACATACATAAGAAATGTATGTCCCGTACATAATATAGATAACAATATGACTAGTCTTAAACCTCAATCTACTACGGGAACCTATACCCAGCCTGATAGTCCCGCAGTCTTATCTCCTCATGGGAAAGGGGCAGTCCAGCTGAAATACTCTGTAGAGATATAAAAAACTCCCCCTCGAGTACTTCAAATCCCGTCCGGGCGAAAACCAACGAGGACAGCGCTAGATGAAATTTAGGTCTTGTCAGTAACTATGTCGTAGTAGTTAGCTACTAAACGGATATGAATCAGAGCAGTTGTCACAAGTGCTACTTTCGAGTGACTTTGCCCGGTGCGAGAACGTACAGGTAGTTGATTTACTTAATTTGCTTGATTCAGCCAGTGCAGGATCGACGGTGGGTGCGATAGGTACGGCAGACGTTTTGAGAGACGCATCAGCTTTTATACCAAATAGTCCACGAGCACTTGTAGTAGATTTTGTATCAAAAGCACTACTCCTAGTCGATGTGGCTCCGTTAGGATTGGCGATAGGTTTGGGGGAAAAAATATTGGTGGATAGAGCTTCATTAGGATTGGTGGCTGGTTTGGTACCAGCTACTGCAACGTTTGCTCCTCCTACTAGCACAATTGGGCTTTGGGGCGTTGCTCTACCAGGATTCACCCACGTAAATATATTTTTTTGCGCAGCGAGAACCGCACTACTAGTCCCAACAGGTTCTGTCCCCGAGGGATTCTCAAGCATAGTCATGTCTTGAGTAGATAAGTTTTTGAAGATAAGCTTAAGATCCATAGGATCGATAAACGATGTAAAATAGCTCTGAGGTTTACCGCCGGTAGTGTATGTGTTTCCTGTGATCCTCATGTAAGCTTGAAACTGCCTGCGCAAGTACCAAGTCAACAAATACCTATACTGTTACCCCACAATGCATCCCTACAGGCTTCAAGGGATGTCTGAAGGCTTTTCTTTCTTATTTCTAACCGATTCCTCTGGTACTGGTCGTCTATCGACTCCGCTGCAATATCGGAAACTAGGCTTTCTGGCATGCGTGCTACAGTGGATGGCGAGAGAATTTCCCAGAGCTTGTCGAGTAAATGACGCTCGATCACTTGGGCGGCTACATTATGTATGAATACATCCAAGGAAGCCTAAAAAGATTCTGTTAGATTATTTCATTAGGAAAGCATGGAAATTCTTATCCTTGGCTGTATACCTGGTAAAAAGCACCCATCCCATCCAAAATCTCGCTACAAGAATTATCATCCAAGTCCTCCGAGAGTGATGAAGTAAGTGTAGCACAAAACATGTCTGGCTTCAAGGTAACAGGTCCACTGGGCCAACCAAAAGATGCGCTAGATTGAATGGCGAGATTGCAACGTTTCTCTATTATTTTCCTTCGAATAGCATTCTTCCTTTCTAAAAATTCATCATTCAAGGTAATCGTGTGTAATGATCTCTCGGCGAGCAATCTCTTTAGTTCATCACTAGCGTGAAGAAACCTTACACGCATTTGTTCGTCAATTAGGTGTGAGAATATTGAATTAACAATTTCGGTTTTTGGTATGATGTGTTGGAATAAGACTTGCAGGAACTTGCGGCAAATTTTCCACGTTTTATCGAGGTGACTTTGAGCTAAAGCCTCCCACGGTTTGGATTGCTCTTTGAAAAGGTCGCCTATGATGAGGGGGTTGTAAATTCCTGGAAGTTCGCAACCACGGCTATTAAACAAAAAGGTCTTTACCCATGAGGCAGCTTCTTTCCGAGTAATAATTTCTGGGAATCCCGGCTCCTTTTGTCCTTCATGCTGCAATCCGGATCCATGCTCCATTCGATGATCTGATATCTGCTTTAGGTGTCCTCGTGCCTTCATATCCTTAGCAAATGAGGTGTTCAAATCTTGAATAACCGTGCGTAGTCGTTTGAGCTTTCCTTCGATGCTTACTCCATCCCTGAAAAAATCGTCACTATATACTCCGCAGAAGGCGGCCTTACATAAGTGTCCAAAATCCTCGCTAACCGTAGACAAGAATTCCCTTTGCTCAGTTATAGTCGATCGCTGCTTTCCCATATTTCGGAGCTGAGTTTCACAATCCTCAAGTGCATCAACTCCTTTCTCGTAAATATCAGACGCGGTGGTTTTGATGTGGCCAAACATCAGTGAGCTTAGTTTTGAACGCAGACTTGAGATACCCAATATGCTCCGTGGGACTTCTTCCCAGGCATGCGTTTCGAAGAACGAGTTTTCCTGAAGGCATTGATCCTCGAAATCCAAGGTTCGTTCCTTTCCGTTCATAAGGACATGCCAACCTAGTCCGAGGTAGCCATCCTCATTTTTTGCCAATCTGATAACACTCCGCTCTTCACCATATTGGAGCGTGTCCGGCTTTGTGATGATCCCTAGAATGCGTGTACCGTCCGGGTTCATCTTTCTTGCAAAGCTGACAATAGACTTTGGTGTTGTATGATCGTGCTTGGCAGCGACTACGGCGAGGATAGTAGTTCCTGGATCAGACGTGATTCCATGTATGTATTCGTTTTCCTTGTATGCCGTTTCCGACCAAGGGAGGCTGATTATTGAGAGTTCAGGTCCATTAGGATCAGTGAGAACAATCCGAAGGACATCACCGTCAAGGTCTGCAGAAGTTGCACCTATTTGTTCATACGCCGTCTCGATCATTCCCCCAAGGTAGCCTTTGAAGCTCTCAGGATCTAAATATTGTTTGAGCTTTATTGTGAGCTTGTCGGCCTCGGAACGTCTGTCATCAGGAATAATTTCCATCGAGAGCTTTGCTTTTTGCCCACGTTTGAAAACAAGATGTATTGGGAATGTCATTAATTCGTCATCTGTAAATGTCATTTCTGTTATGACTTCAAGGACCGATGTTCTCTCGTAGTTAGTACCGCAAACAACGAGGTGAGGATGTAGTGCAAGTGCAAGATCGGCACAGCGCAATGCAATGTTGGGATGATGTGTGCGAAGTTTGTAGATTTCATCGAGAAGACGAAAGGTCTTAGAATTTTGAAGGGAATTCAATCTTGTATGAGAGGCCTGAGATTGAGTAGGCGTCGCTAGTACTGTGCTGTTGGCTAGGTATTTGACCTCGAGTGTCAGCTGATCAGACTTATACTTGATATGCTTTATACACATAGACAACTTACCCAAACTGGATTCAGAACTATGAACTGGGCTTCCGGGAGTGATTGATGGGGACGACATTGCAACGTTCATCAAAATACTGGGTTTATGAAATAAGAAAGTGTAGATCCGTGGTGCTGTTGTCAGAGCTGTTTCTAGGGGGTTCTTATACATACGTACACCAGACAGTTCTAATTAAAGAGGAGGGGAAGGCGTACATATAGTATGCACATGAAACCTATTATATGTATGTACATATAGATACATGTACCTCGTATAACCCGCAGTGGCGCTTAGCCCCCGGACCGCGCATATCACCGAGCTTTTAACGGGGGGAGTCAAGGGCCATAAAGCCAGGATATGATGCAAATTAGCATGGTATTATGTAGGTACACCCATTAGGAACTTCCTGTAAGAACTGACGTAAACCGGTGAGAGTAAAAATTGTGAATTACCGCCATAACTCGAAAAATTGGCTAGATCAAAATTACTTGTACGGGAAACTTCTGGTGCAGATCGATGCCATTCAATCACTCAAGTAGTAATCCCTAGACGGAGATAGCCAATTTTTCGAGTTTTGGCGGTAGGAGATTTTGGAACACCTACGCGCGCATACACGCACATATAATTTATATGTAACTCACTGGTTCGGAATCGGGTGGAATAGGCTATAGCTACATACAGTACCAAAAAAGGGGATGTAATAGGTACTGTACGTACCAATACGGAATTATGCAAAACTTCCGAATTACATCGGAATCTTAACTATTATACCGTAGAAATACTGCATTTTGCCAGATATGGTACTGGATCCACCCGCTTTTTTGGTACTGTATACTACATGTACATGTAAATATATAACCGCGATCATATTTCATACAAGTATGTATCGTCTTGGACTTGAAGGTCATATTTACTTCAGGTATTTACATCAGAGAAAACTCAGTGGGCAATGGCGCTCCTACTACTCTAGGCGCCGTGGAAATGTGTACCTGAAAATATTAAATAATATTCAGTAAAGTCGTCGGGAATGGATTTCATTTTGCTGGGTAATGTCAATATTTTGGCGGAGGGAAAGTCGTTTTAAGGGAGATCGGACGACTTTACTGACGATTTTTAATGACTTTACCGACGACTTTACTGACGACTTCACTGACGACTTTACTGACGACTTTACCTGTCACGCTTCTGTCACTCATTTTGGGCGTATACACAAGGGGGGATAAGTTTTGGCCACCGGTGATGCTTCACATGATTGACGAAGGCCATCGCCCATGAAACGAATCATCAAAGAGCATCCTACTATTATACCTGAAGCATCAAGCCAGAATACCCTGCATGTATATGCCAAACAATAGATCCACCAAAATGAAATTGTATTCCCCAACTGCTACAAGCCCATTGATGCCAGATACCATTTGATGACCCCACCTAAACATTCTATTTGGGGACTCAACTATCTCGAGATCTAGAGGAGGGGCTTCATCGGAAAACATTGATTTTCCGACGGAAAACGGGAAACACCGGAAACCATGCCTTTAATTGGTAAAGTCGTCAGTAAAGTTGTATTTTTTGTATTTAACATGCCTTTAACAGGTAAATGCATCAGTAAAGGTGTCGGTAAAGTGTCGGTAATGGGACAGGAATGCCTTTAACACATAGTATTGCAGTTATTGCATCAAATAATGTGTATCTCGCAACCTTTTGTATGGGAAACGTCAAAATTGATGCATTTCCACGGCTACTAGAGTGAAATTCTCTCATAAAATCTAGGTCCAAGTCAGTAATACTTGGCCAAATATAGAATTCGAATAGTTTAGAGTAAAGTACTAAACTACCCTTCACGGTACTTGCGCCTGGGTTTTCAATACCCTCGAGGGTTTAAAATGGACGCCTTCCCGTAAGCAATAGAACTCGTTCTATTGCCGAATAGACCAATTTTTGAGGTTCTATCGGGTAGAACGGGGGATCTACAGTATTTGTTATAGATACATTACTTCTATCCGTTGAAATAGAGAGGATACCTTCCTTGCTAGCGCGAAAAATAGCACCAAAAGATGGTTTCACGATGCCTAATTTGTATTAGGAGGTAGGGGTATTCACTTCTAGAATACCGCCAAAACTCGAAAAATTGGCTATCCCCGTCCAGGGATTACCACTTGAGTGATTGGTTGAATGGCATCGATCTGCACCATAAGTTTCCCGTACAAGTAATTTTGATCTAGCCAATTTTTCGAGTTATGGCGGTATGTGCCTTTATAACGCTGCATTACAACGCCGCTTATATGGCACTGAGGTTTTCAAAGGTCTGAATACCTCTGGAGTGTATATGCCATATTGTGGGAGTAAATCTGTTACCATATTAATTTAAGATTTGTGCTCAGTGCACTAGTCAATCACCTTTATATGGTACACATATATGGTCAATATTCTGGACAATAATGTAAGTTGGTGATGCTTATTTTCTCCTCATACATATTTCAGAATACGCGACTGCCCATTATTTTAAGCGGTTCATATAAGTGCATGCCTATAAGAGCACGTATTCCGGCAAGTGAATACCCCTACCATATGCTTACGGGAACCTGGTCTATTCGAAAACTATCCTCTGTTGTAATAGAACACGTTCTATTGCTTACGGGAAGGCACGCGTCCAATACCCCCGATGGCAACGGCACGAAATAATGTACCTGACTCCCTAAGCCCGCGTTCCTCTCAATAATTCTCATATTCCGAGGTAAACCGTTGATCTTTGCTAATAGTACCATTTTATTGAAGAGAAAGGGTTCTGGCACGGATTTCTCAAGTAGTAGGGAGGGCCTCAACACGGGGGTCCATTTTTAATTGTGTCATGAACACAATTGTTGTGTCAATTGCACAATAGAGCGTATTCGCTAATTATAATTACCGTCAATTCTGATAATTGACACTTCGCCACTCTCCAAAGCGGCATCCACAAGTGTCAATTTTGGGTGGGCCGCTTGCAAGGCTGTTAGAGGACACCATACCATAGTAGTTATCATCCTATTCTTGCGGCTTGCGCATTCATATCCCTATGGAGGGGAAGTGTCAATTTTGCGTTTTTCAACCGTCAAAAATGACACTTAGTAAATACGCTCTAATACCCCGAGGGTTTAAAATACCCCCGAGGGCAACACAATGAACTGTGAGGTGAAAGAAAACAAACCGAATATTATTCTTTGTTTGGTTTTAGAGTAGAAGTATCAAACTTCAGACCATATTTGTGGTAAAGGTATCAAGAGGTTCTGAGACCTTGATTAAACCCCCGGCCTTGACACTGGAAGCCATCCCGTGGATATTTTTGAAGGTTTGTAGGCGTTCAAATATGGTCTGTAGACACCCCCAGGGGGTGTCTACAGATTTGTGGTGAGCCGTTTCTACGCAAGATCTGTAATTTATCTTCAAGGCTCCAGGTTTGAACATCTTCAGAATATCCACGGGATGACTTCCACTATCCAGGTACATTTGTTGTTAGGGTATTAGAGCGTATTTACTAAGTGTCATTTTTGACGGTTGCAAAACGCAAAATTGACACTTCCCCTCCATAGGGATATGAAATGCGCAAGCCGCAAGAACAGGATGATAACTACTATGGTGTCCTCTAACTGTATTTGGTATCCTTTTGAGGTATTTCACAGCCTGGCAAGCGGCCCACCCAAAATTGACACTTGTGGATGCCGCTTTGGAGAGTGGCGAAGTGTCAATTATCAAAATTGACGGTTAGTAAATACGCTCTGTTACAAACCCAAGAGCAACCGTGAAGGGTAGTTTAGTACTTTAATTTGCTCATAACCTTATTAAAGCAAGTGTGATTATCAATCTTGGCAATGTCAAGACAGACTTGAGCCTGGTAAAGATTGGTCTTAAGCTGGCTAGTCTCGATCATTGGAGGGTCAGACTCCTGGGTTTAAGCCTGCTATCTTGAGACAAGCCTAAGATCAGCTAGTTGCGTGTTTTAATCGATCAAGTGGGATACTAGACAGTCACCACTTGTATACTGCAGCAATCAAATAGAAGAGCTAGAGGAGGCCGGAATGACTTAAAACTAGTTATATAGAAGTGCATGCCTGGGCAAAAAGAGATGAATGGTTAGAACTGACTCTATTGCCTTAAGTCTGGAGGGGTGGGATCGTTGGCATGGGCACAGTACAGTATTCTGAATCGTGAATGATCACTGAGTTGAATCAGATCAGTGAATTCAGTCGACACACTTTATAGTCCACGACTGCAGTGCCAAAAAAGGCGTGCGGTGCATCCGTACTAGCTAGAAATACCGCAGCCTCGCAGCATTCTATGTCGCGGTGTTGGTTTTACCTTTATCTCAGTACTATAAGAGGATTATAGCTAGAATACGAAGCTTAAGGTATCTTTTCGTGTGGTTTCCTAGAAAGGAATGCAGCTTTGATTAGGATTATACTGTGGTTTCAATAAATCTATCATAGGAGGTACTACCATGAGAGGTTACTTATATTCGTGTAGAGTAGATATTACACAGCTAACTTATAGATCTGCCAACCAACTAATCAAATATTGTAAATGCCTGTATGTGCCAGGTCAGTCCGGGCGTTGATCAATTTCCCGATCGATTGGGTATCTTGCTGGAGGGAGACACGGAACTCCGTGTCACTATTCACACTCCAGGGATTGCGGCCGCAACCAAAAACTCCGAACATCCCTAATAAATACTCAGATCAGTAACTGTAGCATACACGCGCATACAAATAGATAAAGTGAGTCAATATCAAGTTCCCCGTTTAAAACCCTGCTCGGAGTCCGGAAGAAGGTAGAGTAGATAAAACACGTCGGAATCCCTTCGCCAACGGAGTTCCATAAGCCTTTACGTACGAGGAGCACTACTACCTACTAGCTTGCAATCAAGCCAGCATCGAGCTACATACTACTGCCACTACTACTACTAATATTGCATACTTACCTTCCGTGATGCCTCAGAACGCACTTTGGGAATCAGCACCGACTACATCGGCCCCGGCATCGGCTGCTGGCGAGCACGAGGGCTTCAAATGCTTAATATGTAGCAAGTCGTTCGAACAGAGTCGGTTATTTCTCTCGGCACGAGGATGGGAGGCTGCCACTGCGTGATAGTTAGCTGACCTTTCATCTAGGGTCTTCTCGCGACCGACATCTTAGACGATGCAGGCAAAAGCAGCTCACAGGAACAATACCACGAAAGAAGAGCTGTGCTCTCTGTACACAAGCGAAAACGCGGTGTGATCTTAAGACTCCGGCATGCACTCGATGCAAAACGAAGGGTCTCGTATGCCAGTACTACGCACCGCCAATACATGGAGCTCCCGCTCCGGCTCCGGCTCCGGCTCCGGCTCCAGCTCCTACAGCGTCACTACAACCAGCACCCATAGTTCAAACCACCAACACTACTAATGCTACTGTTAGCGAAGAAATATCACTTCCAACACCAGCTCCGACGGATAATGAGCATGTTGAAGATGCCAACGAAGAGTCGAATTTCGCTTCGCTTGGAGTCGTTGACTGGGGAGAGATGGGCAACAGCTTGTTAGACTGGTCGCCCATGTTTGTGCCTGTAGGGGGCGCACAAACACCAGCAAACAATGGAGGGCTGGAGACGCCCTTAAGCACCCCACAGTCATGTGAAGGCGGGCATCCAAATTTGCCCAATCTTTGTGAGCCCGGTCCTCACACAGAGTGCGGCAATCACTTCCGTGCGGCGGGCCAGCTTACCCGACTAGTCTCCGTCGAGTCGTTTACCCATATGCGACACCGGCTTAGCACCGAGTCGGCAGAAATGAGAAAGAGCTATTTTAACAAGTTTAACTTCATGAACCGGGTCCTCAAAGCATACCCAAAGATGATGGTCGCAGGAAATATGCTACCACCATTCGTGCATCCGTCCTCCATGCTACCGGGGAAGATTACAGAAGCGCTGGCGAATTGTAAGGGCCTGGTGCAGATGTACAAAACCATGGGGGCGGAAAATAGGCAATTTGTTATGAAAACTATTGCACAGGAACATGATAGGATATTACAACAAGTAAGGACACATGCTTACGATGACTTTTCGGGCCTCCACTGATCCCTATGCGTAGTATATGACATGTAATGATGTAGAGATGTTGTCTATGTTACAAGCCGCGGTTATATATGGAATTGTTCGGTATTTTGAAAACGATCCTATGATGGATAAATCAATCCTCATGCAGATTGAAGTATGCAGCATATCCTCACCTTGAGGACTAAAAGCTATGGGCAAGAATCTTCATTAATATTGTCGGATTTTAGACTATAGCGTTCAATGTAGGCCTTGGCGGTCTAATGGCGAAAGGAGAGCAGGAGAACACTCGTCCAGTCTGGGAAGAATGGGTGCTCGCCGAATCAAAGCGACGGTATGCCTTGGTTGCTTGTACAACGAAGTGTACTTGCTAATACCTTTTACCTACTCTATAGAACATTAGTCACGCTATATATGCTCGATGCATCATTCCACTTCAGCCGAGGACTGGAAACATTAACCTCCTACGAGATGGCAGATCTTCCACTTCCAACCGTAAGACATCTATGGGAAGGTATGGATCGTACAAAATGGGAATACGACTACGAGGGATACCTGGCTGCACTAAACGGCCAAAAATTGCCTCGAATGCAAGATGCTTGGCCGCCAAATACGGCTTTGGTGGAGGAATGGTATGCGGGAATGGATTCTTTTGGTGTCACACTTTTGGCTCTGTGCGAAAATTGCCCGCATAAAGAAGAACACGTGCGGGTTGTGCAGGATCGACAAGCTCTTCGTTTAGGGCTCCCTGTTGTTTGAAGGGTTTAGTTTTATAATCATGATAATATCTCACTTGAAAGAATAATTTTGGAAATCCACAACTTGGCATTTTCGGGGTGATAAATCGTGCCGGGATGGGGTGGTTGGCCCTTACGAACCGTGTGGATGGTCCTGAGTGATACCTTATGATCTCATCCGGATCCCTCTTTGGTGGATTAGAGGTCTAACTCTAAATATTAAGACTATCAGAGAGGATTTGATTTTCGGTCGTCTCTTTTTCTTTCGTTGTAGGCGGGAAAACATTAAATCTACACGTAGGGTGTAGCTAATGGTGTGATTGGTAACTCGAAGAAGGGCCAGGAAAAGGTGAACTTTATTTCCTTTTTCTGATAGATCGAATGTTTACTAAAGCGATTGTTCCCTTCCATATGTTTGTGAAGCCCTTGTATTTGATAAATACGAATAGGCGATAGGGAGGCGGGTGGCCACTTCATTTAGTGATAATACCAGCAGAGAAACTATGAACCTAGCTAGGAGTGCGCATGATCTGAAAGAAGTTGGTCATGGTCTATGTCTAAAACTGCTAGCCAGTACGATTCCAAGCCAAGGCCAAATATTCAAGACTTTGTAGATAACTTATACACATCTATGTGGAGCAGGAACAAAATATTTTAACAGCAAATAGTAACTAAGCTAATAATCTATCGATCAATTTGAACACATTCTCAGTAACTTAAAATAGCTGTCTACATTCTCTATCTAAAAAGGAGATTTTGTATTGTAGGAACCTACCCTCTCCTCTAAATAGTAAAAGAAAAATCCCTTCCCTCGGCCTAAACATAAACCGGTCTGATCTGCTCCACAAACAAACTTGTTGAAAAATAGTGGGTTTCCGGATGATTGATCCTAAACCGTGCAGGGCAGAAACTACTCGTACAATTCGAACTTATTTGATAATCGCTATTCTGACTGGGCGATAAATCACCAAAGACCTCAAAGAGTATTGATTCTGCGGATAGTGTACCATGGCTTTTGCAAATATTAGAAACCAGTACAGCAACATAAACCTCCTATACACGGGAATTTGGCTGTAAATACCTCGTAAATCCACCCATCAAACAGTCCAAACAATACTCTTCTATACTATTTAATTGATCCAGAGAAGCATCATCGATGGTGTTTTCTCTAGGAGAAGACGGTTTGCTGTAAACTGTGGGACTTGGTGCACCTCCCTCCGACCCGGAGCTGGAGTCATCCGAACTATTGGATGACCTTGGAGTGGAGTAATCGACATCTGACGGGGTAGCTAATATGTTTTAGATAATTTTTCAAGATTAACGCGTGTAATAACCCCAGCAAAAATATGAGGATTGAACGTACACACTGGCGGCTGTAGCTTATGCCATTCTGGTAGCTCTCCTGTTCCATTATATCTCTTCCGGCCGCGCTTAAGCGTTTCTTTTTTCACTCGTTGGCCTTTGAATCGAAAGATTGTCGATTTCCCTGCTAGGTTTCTGTCGTCCTGAATCCGTAGGATTTTCAACATCTTTATACGCTTGAGATTCTTCCCAAGCCTCCACTTGGCGATGACAGTTTTACACTGCTTGGGTCTGAGGATGGAACATTAACTCCGAAATATATAAAGAATGGCTAAAATTTATGTATACCTCGCATAGAACTTGTATTGACTTGCCATTATCCTCCTGACATCGTTGAGGTTATACTTATTGGTAGAATATAATCTTGTGAAGTTTTCGCGTTGTGGTTCCCAGTCTCTAGCCTCGATGACCCGGGGAGTAAAGTGCTTTTCCCACTCTTGTAGACCAGTATTTGAGGGGTTCATCTTCTATGATATAGCAAAGGGATTCTGAAGATCGGACGAGTGACTGTTTAGCTATGTATATTAGTATATTGATATTGAGTTGTGGTTGGTAGGGAGCATCTACTCTATATAAATACATAAGCTTGCACGAGGCTGTAGATTTAGTAGTTCAAGCGAGAATAAGTATATGATTACGCGTGCTGGGTTCGTGGGGTACCTACATACTGTATTCGATTTATCGTCATATGTGTCTACCTGCCAAGTCCCTTTGTTAACCCCACCCACGACCCGCAAAAAAAAGGACTTTGCATTCAGTGTTGGTAATGAGTCCCGGTTCTAACGATTTATTTTGGGGTCGATCGGGGTCCTAACGATTTTGATGGGACCGTGTCTTCGACCGGTCATAATGTAGGTCGTATCAGTGCCAAGAAAGGCGATTCTAGTACTTACAAGAAAAACAATACAGAGGTTTCTCAGGTGTATCTTATAACTTGATGATACGACCCCGGAAGAGGATATAGGTCATTACCTTTTACGATCCGTATGCTGGGTCTCGACCGGGTCCTAACAGTTACGGGTCGTGGGTCATTACCACACTGCAAGCTTGCATGGATGTATGGCGGGGGTGTCCCGAGTGTAGGTACTCTAGGTACTCTAGAGGAGTCCGGTGCCCTACCGCCCGCAACGCTGCAAGGAACCATGTTTGAAAGGTTTGAAATGCGCCCGCATCCGGACCCCCACAAAAAACAAAAATCATTGATCACCACCTGGACCGTGCGTTGGTCTGCATCCAAATAATCAACTACCTCATACATATGTAGACCACTGATAAGAAATTGATCGATATGTGGGGGGGGCTGGCAGCACAGACATACCTAGAGTATTGTGGTACCATAGCAGGCCGAGAATGACAGCCTTAAACAGCGGGAGGCTTCGAGTTGTTCCCAAATGCCCATAATGAAGTATTTTACCGGCCGTGTCTTCAAAATCATCGTTGAGTGGCTGCATGTATGATGTATGTACCGGGTGTTGAGGGTAAGTGATCAGAATCTGATAAGTGAATGCTGCGGTGAATACATGTATTTGTCTTATCAGATTCTGATCACTTTTCGCTACACCCTAGTACAGTACATACATGTATGTTTGTATTTACAGGGATTGCACCCTTCACTCTCCTCCTTTACCCCACGGACGGTCCCTTATCATATGACGGTAAACATTTATGACGACCGTTGATGCCCGTTTTATACCATCACGATGATATGATACGGCTGATGTTAGCGTAAGAGACATAAAATTTGTGCACGGCATGTTTACCTGTGATGTTTTTATGGCCTGCCTACCTGGAGGCTTTGCACCAATATCGTTTGCAATCGGTGGTGGTTAAGGTAAATCTTAGAGTATGGTAGAAAACTTGTTCGGAGATATAGACACGGGAAGTGGGGAGATTAATTAAGGCGCTGGATGTTGACGACTTTGCAGCTATCATGAGCAGAAACGCTGTTGCCACAAACCTCAGAGAAATTTCTTTTTTTCTTCTTTTTCTTCTTTTTCTTTTTAGTTATTCTGCATGGTACTTTATTGACTATCGACCCCCAAAGATCTCAGTTTCCTCGATATTATATGTACTATATATATTAAATGTCGGCGTAAATGCTCCTGGTACGACTAATTAACAAGTTAGAGAAAGGGGAACCGGTACAAGCAATGTAGAGCGGGGTCGCTTTTATCAGCCAATTACATGCCAATTACAAGCCGAACAGGCATATATCTCGAGTGATCATGAGCACCGGAACTTAAAAGTCGACACATGTGCTCATTGATCCCATCGATCACATCAGGACCACCAACTCGGTGCCTAAATTCTAGACCCAGGATGGCTGCTCCATGTATGTACTTTCGGAACGCATTCATCTGGAATTGATGCCCAAAGAAGATAGCCGTGAAGTTTTACTCATAAACAATCACTCGAATCCCATAACCCCTGTTTCTAGAAACACTACTGGACAAATTCAACTAAAAGCCGCTTCTGCTCTTACATGTATGCGGAGTACAAGTGTCAAAGGAGCGCTAGAACTTATACAATTGCAGCCTTAAGAGGATACAGAAAACTCCCAAGGTAGAGAATTGTGAAATCTCAATACAAAGCAAGGACAAGCATCCACTATTTACTGCCTCCATCATCTACCCAAAGACAATTATAATTATACTCAACTGTGAGTAAAGAAATTGGAAAACATGAACAGAAGGAGATCAAAGAATTATGCGCAATCCTGCAACAACACCGATTTTCGATATACCCGGAAACACAAAAAAAGCCTCCCGAAATAAAACTCCCTACCCTGGTATCCTTTAAATTTCCCCCAGATCACACCAATACGCCTTCATCTCCAAACATAATTTTTCAAACCCCTATATCAATGATTTGATGTTCCTCAATCTTTCCAACATGAGGAGCCGTTGAAGCGCACGAAATTGGTCTGATCTCAACAGACTTGACAGAAACCTTTCCCGACCCAATCATAAGCCCGTCCCCGAGAAGAATCGCATTTTCGTCCGTGATAGACTCTTCGTTTCCTGGAGTAGTTGGCCTACGAGAGGTATTTAGGCTGTCTTCTATGCTGAGCGAGCTGGAGGATCCATCTTCGGTTAAAGAGGTTATGAGAACCGTTGCTGTTTCGACTACCAATTCCAGTCCAATCTCTAGATCTTCGCCCAAAGCCCGTGGATTCTCGCTCATGCTTTTGTTGATAGATCCGTTTGTCACCATAGAACACCCATAACCCCCCTCAGCAGCCTCGATAGCACAAAAGTCTTCGTGATGTTTATTGCAAAGCCTTTTTCTTGCCCCCTCCCTGTACTCAACCTCTAAAGTGAACCATGGCAATAAAGTCTCTCCTCGAATCCCCTTCCGTGGCAAATTCCAGTAGTGTAGGACAAGCTGCTCTTGCCAATCGCTATTCTCCATCATCCACTGCACAAATAGAGTTCTTCCCCTCAATCTACTCGGCTTTTTCGTCGCCTTCCGGATCCTGCGTTGTAATACCCCATTCATATCACGTTCGACTATCGGCTCCTCATAAGGCTTTATCCAGAGGTAAATGTCCGTCTCTTTCTCCCATGGCTCCGCAAACAAACCCATAGCCTGTTCGTGTTTGTGGATAAGGCCGCAAAGATGGCGATAAATTACCCAAGCTGAATCTGAGCCCACAATCTCCAGCGGCACGTCTAAAGTCTCAACATAGTTCTTAGAGAGAAACATGAGGTAACCTCTCGGGGTGAATGTAAACTTGATAGCGGCTCCTGGCCTAACGTTGAGTTTGATCTTCGTATATGTAGAGAATGTGCTTTTTAAAGCACCGTTGCATTTCGAAAAGTACCTTGGGCCTATCTCCGTTTGAACGCCTTTAAGTATTTGTTTCTTCTTTTGTTTAATTCTGAAGAATCGCTTGACTATGTAACCTTTCTTCCTGAAGAAACCCGGGACTCTTTTGAGCATGGTGAAAAGAAAAATGAGAAAAAAAGATCAGTAAAGACTGTGAGGCTGTTGAGCTATTGTGGCTTTTGGTGATTCGCCGAAATCAAAAGAATGGAAAATGGTTGTTGTGAAAGTCGATAAGTAGCTGTGAGAAAACATGTAAGACCATGATACCTCAAGAGAGATGGGGAGGAATTACTCGGTTAGAACTCTTATATCGCTAGCTTTCAGATGAGATCGATTTTGGATGTGAATAGATGGAATTTAGCTTGAAATAAATGGGTTTAGATTGACAATGTGGGGGAATGGAAGTTGTGGAGGAATGAAGGGAGTGAAGGGTACAAGTAAGGGATGCGGGGAACTTGGCAAGTATCAGTTTCGTCATTTTTCAGTATTACGTAGCCGGTATATAGGGTCCGCGGGGTCACCTAACCCCGGGTATGGATTGATAGGTGTTGTGAACGTCGAAGCACGACACGATGCCCAAATGAGCCACGGCACCCCAAATATCGCGAGCTGGATACGCCTAAATCGAAATGAGTACTAGTTAGATCATAATGACTACATGTACATGTAGTACCATGGCCATATAAAGGTTACAAAACCGCCTTAGAACTAGAATAGGTGGAACATATCGCCATATATATATATAGAACTTTGCTCAGATCATCATCTAGATCGGATTATACTATAACCAGGATGAAGAATGACTGATCCACTGTGAAAATTCCTAAGTATGAACGTTGTGATACAACGATAATATTAAGATAGACAAAAGCCTCTTAACTATACGATACTGACTGCTTGATTTTTTCTTTTCTGTTGAATACCATAGTGCTACATACATGTAGCTACTTGGTTAGTACAGCTGCACTGTGTGAATGTGTGTGTGTCCTCACGTTCCCTTACGAAATGTCTTCCTCCTTCTTTTTATTTTATTTACTTCTCTGTACTATACTTTCACTCAAAAGGCAATTTAGTGGGCTTCGAAATACTATACCATATGTGTGTTGAATTATGGTCAAGCCTGATTTTTTGAATACCAGTTGTAGAACATGTCGGTCATAGTATCTCACTCGACCAAATGCAAACTTTTATAGATGTGCGCTAACCGCATTCATCACGGCAACTTCCGAAAATAACAACATCAATTCAAGCTCTATCTCTACCCCAGCTTTCGAAGAGGCAAAGTGCTATTAAACACAACTCTACTCCACGCGCATAAGAAACGGCACTACTATCCTATAAAATATGAGTCAAATTCAAACCATCGTCGATGGTTTCATCGTATGTACATACCTCTATATTACCACCTGAAAGAACTTTAATTTACTCACACCCGAAAAGGATTTCGAAGGCCAAAATCTCGCTGAATCCCTAACCACCACCATCATCGCCTTCACAGGAGTACACCACCCTACAACCTCACCGCTAGTACGTCTACTAACAAAGATATAAACCAGATTTTAGCCTTCATCGTAGGCTGGGTCCTATCAGATCTTAAATATACTGTCTACGTTGGCTTGAGTGGTACCGCGCTCGCTTTTCTGGCGGTTGTACCCCCATGGCCGATGTACAATAAGAATCCGTTGGTGTGGGCTTCGGTTACGGATGGGAAAGCGGAGACCAAGAAGGAGAGATGAAGAGGAAGAAGCACAAGAAGGGGGAGGGACATAGTTGGAAGGGCATCAACTGTACGATAGGTTGAGAACACCCATGGTTGCTGGACAGTCGCGGGTGTCTAAACGGAGCATATTCCTTTGATCAATCGACCCTCTTTGAACTACATAATCACGGGTTTAATTCATGTAGCTCATCGCAAGGATCCAAAGGCATATCAATATACGATGTCTCCATATTTAGTCATGTAGTTCTACTGGAAGCCCAAACCCACAATATTCTATCTTCTGATGAAGGGGCGCGCGCCAGGTTCAGAGTCACTCATATTATCAGAATGTAATCATGCTATTGTCACTAGACATATACATATATCGTCCATGGGATATTTAAGGTGGTAATACCTTTGAAATCAATAGACTATGTCTACCGCGTGATTTTTCATGATGTTGCGCTATGTACCAATCAATTTAAACACCGTCGCTTCAAGCCTCAGGGGGTAATGTAGGCGGTTACCCTACCTCAGCTATTCACGGAACAACAACTGGAACAAGCTCAAGCTACGCGACTCTCCTGTGGCAGCTACCTGGCACTTATTTTTCCAGAAAGATGCGATTATCAAGACTTCCGTGGTCGGCAGGTTCTTTTCTAAATTTACTTTTGCTACCTCTCGCTCTGGTTTCTGCAGAGGAACATAGCTCCTACGATGAGAATTTACTACTGAGGACACTTCCGGGAAACTCCGTGTAAGTCTCCTTCCATCTTCCGAATTAGATCAAATTGATTGATTGGTTTTTTGATACTTGATAGGCTTGCGTCATTCCGGTTCGTGAGTAATGGCACCTTCAATAGTCACCACTCTGTCTTTCCTCGCTCCCTCGCACAAATCCTCCAGCATTCACAAACGAAGGAACTGCATCTTAAATTTACGTTAGGGCGCTGGGATGCCGAGCGCTGGGGGTCTCAGATCTGGGATGGACGGACGGCTGGTGGTACGGGTGTAGAGCTGTGGGCGTGGGTAGAAGCTGGTTCTGACGCTGAGGCGGATGCAAGATGGACTACGCTCAACAATGCGCTGTCTGGGTTGTTTTGTGCATCTCTAAACTTTATAGACAGTACCCGTACGATCAGACCGGTAATGAGCTTTCAACCGGACGGGCATCATGCTGAGGATATTAAGGAAAGATTGCATTTGCTCCACGGGACGCTCCCGAGGGAACCTGTCTGTACGGAGAATTTAACACCGTTTTTGAAGCTGTTGCCTTGTAAGGGAAAGGCAGGAATTAGTAGTTTACTAGATGGACATAAACTGTTTGACGCGAAATGGCAGAGTATGAGTATCGACGTCACACCGGTGTGTGAGGAAATGGATGGAGTAGAGAAATGTCAGCTGCAGATGGTACAAACAGTTGATATGGTTCTCGATGTTGAACGATCATTGAGAAAAAAAGGTACGTGGCAACTCGTTCCCAATGATTTGTATCAAGAATTAAATCTAACCTCCTTAGATTCTGTAATCCCACGACCACCACACCTAGATCAAATGATCTGCGATCCCAATAAGTTCTACTCTGGCAGCGACTCCTGTTTCCCCCTGGATGACATTTCTGATCTCTCCTGGTCACTCTCTGAGATGTTTGGGCGCCCTATTCGCGGTTCCTGCCCTCTAGCATCCCTCCCCACATCTCAATCGATCAATGTCTGCGCCAACGTCCCTGATCAACGTGCAATCTATGTCTCCGCTGGTGGGACTGAAGTCCGTCGGGGCGATAACATGCGATGTTTTATCCTCGAAGAGAACACAGACTTTGATATCATCCTTCCTGACCAATCCCCTGCAATTCCGCTCCCGAATATCGAACCACCACTGTACGCATCGCGCTCCTTCACAGGACATGGGCAAGAGCGTGGTGGTGTCCAAGCTGTCTTGAGAAATCCTTCCCCAGACAGACATGTCGAGTTTGTATACCTGGAATCTCTGCCGTGGTTCATGAAGCCATATCTTCACACGTTTTCTGCAACCCTTGATCCACCAATTGAGACCCAATGGGAGGAGAAAATAATCCAAGAGATCTACTATCGTCCTGCCCTCGATCGCCGTCGTGGTACTCAATTGGAGGCTAGAATGAGGATTCCGCCAAATTCCACGGTTCTGGTGACTTATGATTTTGATAAAGCTGTTCTCCGGTACACGGAGTATCCGCCGGATGCTAACCGTGGCTTTGATATTGCGTACGAACCCCACTTGCCTTATTACCTTCTGTATAGTTTCCCAGTGAGCTAATATCCTCTAGTCCTGCTATTATATCGATACTAGCCCCCCGAAACAGCCAAACCATCTTTTCCATTCGTACTACTTCTCTTCTCCTCTCGCTCCCAACCCCTGACTTCAGCATGCCCTACAACGTCATCATCCTTACCAGCACGGTGATGGCACTTGCATTTGGCACAGTCTTCAACCTGCTAGTAAGGCGCTTCGTAGGCGCAGATGAGTCTGTGAGAACGAACCCCGTTCAAGTGTTGAAAGTGAAAATTATGGCGGCAGTGAAGCGGATTAAGGCTAAAAGGGAAAGAGGTGGAAAAGCGGAATTGGCAAAAAAGAATGAATAACACGTGGTGGATGAGGGTTTCTTTGCCGTTTCTTTGTGATTATTTTTAAGACTTACTGTTTGTTTGTAAATGTAAAATACCTATGATCTGCAGGTAATCTATGTGTAATGGGTGGAATATTCAATGGGCAGATGGATGGCGTGTATAATATATAAATATTGAAGCATTGTTATTCACCGTCGAGGCAGTCATAGATCGTTGCTGTTTTGTAAATTCGAATTCAAGAAATAGGTCATCCTTGACAACGATAGCGGGAGTGGCCCAGGTTTGGCGGTGGTTTTCTACGTTTGCGGGGACTGTTACTCTTCCCTTCCATACGTGTCTTACGAGGAACACAAGTACCAGACAGAGTCCCCTTATTTTAAGCCAGCAAATCTAATCAGACACTCTATCCTTTCGTTACTCAGCTATCAAATCCACACGAGTGCTTACTTGAGTCGAGTGATAATCCATGAATCCCACCATTACCACTAAGACCTGCCGAGGCTAATGTTACTGTTAATACTGAGCTTAGCTGGCGCAGAATGTGGAGAGCGGTTTGTAACATGCTTTGAAGGATTTAGTCGTTATGAATACGATTTCCATCTATCTCAATTGATGTTCCTTCACGACCGGCCGGCCATGCTGGCGAGGAATGCAGTTGAAGCTTTGTGTATAATTTTATATGTAATGATGGTATCGTTGATCTTAAAGCCCCCTGTCCGCACTATTAGTTGCTCGACGCACTATTAGGAGTGGTGTATATGACTGAGCTGAGGTATATCTCTTATATGAGCCTTCGTTTGTCGTGGCTGTACCATTTCTGGGGTGCGCTGGAAAAGAGGATGCTGCGTGCTACCTCTCAAGCCATAGTCTTGATGTGCGAGTCAGAAGTCTTGCTGTAGACATCAAATTAGGGTTTTTTTCTCAATTATCGTGTTTAATTTCATTCTTTGTCCCACCATGCCCCTAGAATATTCGGGACATGGGTTATATGTAAACGATTGTGCCAAGACAACAGGACTAACTTCTTTGTCTTAAACCAGAGGCCGGTGGAAGTTATTTGGCACTCCACACTCGCTCACCAGCCTCTTAATTGTGTATCAACTATACCAAGCCGGATTAGATTTATCTAGAGGTCTAAATAGAGCGATTTATGTCGAGTGATAATTCGTGATTGCGGCTATTGGCGAAAACTATAACCTCTTTGTTCGAAAAGCCACATCTGAGTTTAATGGTACCATTTTTAGTGCAGCGGTCTGTAAAGATATATTGGTGGAAGCGTGTTAGATTTATTCTGGGGGTCGCATGAGACCTGTTCTTGACTGGTGGTATATCTTAAGCCTTCCATCCTTCCTGGGTAAAGTAAGATTGAATAGTAAAGCCTTTGGTAAATCTTTTTTAGAAACGTTCATATCCCAATCTATTTTGTGTTAATAGTTGTAAGATACACCCGCTATATTTCCTAAACTAGAAGATAGTAAAACACTCGAAATGCTTTAGCATGCCTCTGGCGTAGAAGTGGTTAGTGGGGTTTCTTTTCTTCATAAGTGGATGGATCTGAATTTCCAGTTGAATCAAGGGGATCTGGTATATTCCCTGGTGTTGGTTGAGACACTAGTCTCATTCTGGGTGACATTCATACACCTTCTGTCGCCTGCCCCAAATTTTGGTGTGGCTTTTCCCGACGAGCAATGCAACGCCAGAACTAACCTTTACCCACATGGTGTAAAGTTATTTGTAGCCAAAGGCGTTGGCGTCGCTCATAGTGAGACCACCTGTTGTCTCATATTTATGGACAAGTTAATACTAAACTGGTCGTTCATTGGACAGCCTTGTTTTTTAGCTTTGTTCGCATCCATGTCTTCATCGTTGATCACTCGGCGGTGATAACGATGATCTGTTAATATAAGAATAGCACAATAAGAATAGCACAATGAGAGCGTGCCTACTAGCCCTCGTTTTTACAGGCTTCCCCATGCCTTCTTCCCCTTCCCCTTCCCCCAACCCCCCCGATTGTTTCGCAGTCTCGCAACCCACAAACGAGAAAAGAAAAAAAAAAATGAAATTCCTCATCGCAGTCTGCCTCGCCGTGAGAGCCGCAGCGCTCTATATTCCCCAGCCAGACTCCAACATCGACACCGTTTTCAACTGCAAGACAGACGCAATGTACCATCCTTGCAAAATCGCTTACGACATCGGCCACTGCATCGAGTGGAAGTACCCGCTCAATCTCAAGGACACGAGCTGCGGAGAGTGCTCAGAGAGCTGGAAGAAGTACACTAAAGCGTACGTATCCCCTATCATTAATTCCCGACTAAATCTTGTCGGGCGGGCTGATCTCGAGTAGGTGTGTCGACTCGGGGTGCGCGCAGTGGGATTCTAATCCGTTGGAGAAGTGCATGTGGAGGAGCGGGGCAAGGTCGTGGAACTTGGTCGGGGGGGGGGGGGGGGGGGTGGCGGTTTAGTGAGGGATCGGGATTGACTTTTGGGCTTTTTGATGCCGTGCTGTGTTGGCTTGTCCTGGGGAAAATGGTCGCATAAGATGTTCAAGTTGTCTTTTGGGGCTGACATGTTGCCGTCTTGTGAGATCATCTCTGGGGAGAGCTAACAGAGTGCATGTAAATAGAAGGAGTTGAGGCGAAAGGTTATTTGCATGTATGTATATATTTATTTATCGAGGGTCGCTTCACAGGTGTGCGGACGGCCTGAGCATAGAGGCGTACGTGTAGTTATGTGCAGAGCGTAGAGAACACCTTGCGAGATAGTAGTAATCACTATGAGCTATGATAGATACTCCACGGCCGCTGTTCTCTCCTTATATCCCAACATTGTTTCTCTGCACCAAGGGCGGTAAAACAAAGGCAGAAAAGTAGGCGATTGAGAATAAGCCAGCTAGTACTCACACTGCCGGGTTGAAGTGCCCCAATTGATATGGCAGCACTAGTAAATGAGAACATTGAGGAAACTCGCACAACTTTCCACACAAACTGAACAACTAAACCGCACACACACGCATAACTTTTTTGATACCACCCCAATTCATTTCATTTCACCTTTTTTTGTCGTTCTCCCATACAGATCAGAGCGGGTAATGGATACAAAAAAACATAGAGACATAAAGCAGAAAATGATACAGAAAGACAAAGTTTGAATTTTTCTTTTCCCCTCCCTCACAAAAACGTACAGAGTTTGTAAAAAAAAAAAAACACAAAAAGGAAGAAGATTAACAACCGCACGTAATAATACTTAAGACTGAGAACGCATGTAACGACCGACAACCATGCAGTGGTCTCTCTCGAACGGCTCTGCAAAAGCCTGTCAGTATCCTGCTTCTCACAGTGGTATAGCGGGGTGGTAGAGGAAGAACTTACCCAAAGTAAGCTGTTCCAAAGGCTTGATCCTCTCCTCCCTCATCTTCTGCACTTCTCTCGCAAATACGGCCTCGGGTGCCGCTGTGGAATCGATACAGTTGGCCTTGACCGACACAAGCACACCACCCTTCTCCTTCAGGAACAAGTGGCAGTTCAATCCGACGATACGGGCCTGATCGGGCTGCGCAACATCGGCAAACACAACGTCGACCATACCCACAAGCATCCTGTACTTCATTGGGTGGCGCGCATCCTCAATGATGGGGATAACGTTCGTTCGCTTCTTTGCCATGTTAATCAAGTCACGCCCCGAGCGGTGCGAGAACTCGACGGCAAACACGTTTCCGGTGGGTCCCACGATATCAGCCACGTGGGAGACCGACGTCCCCGAGGCCGCTCCGAGATACAAGACCTTTGCGCCGGGCTTGATGAAGATGTCATCCAGACCACCGAGGATACCGGCCGCCAACTTTGAGCGGAACGGGTTCCACACACGGTACTCGACCTTTGTGGCGGCCTCGTCGGCGTTTGTGGACGGGGTGTCGACGGAGATGCGCTTCTCGCCGTACACGGACTCGCCGGGGGACAGGTTCTTGGTCACAAGCATGTCCTCCTTAGCACGGGCAACGAAGACACCGGCGTGGCGATGCGGCTCGACAATGACTTTGGCACCGCCACGGGCTCCACCTGCTGCTCCGCCGCGGCCGCCGCCGCGTCCTCCACGGCCGGGGGGACCGCCACGGCCTCCACGGGCTCCTCCACGGCCACCGCCACGGGGGGTACCACGGGCACCACCTGGGGATTGTTAGCATTGTGGGTTCATGAAACGAAACGAAAAGAAAGAAATACGTAGTGGGGGATATTTCGGGCGATAAGAGGTGGGGACTTCATGGTTTGAGAAAATGAGATATATAGAAAACCGCAATCGCAATTCTTTTTACTTCCCCAAGAACCGCCAAAAGGCCCATTCCATCTCTTGCAAGAGCAGGAGAGGGATATTCCTCCCAGAACAAGAAAACATTGCGAGTGAAAAAAAAAAAAAAAAAAAAAAAATTCAATCGAGAAACAAAAAATGCAAAATGAAGAATATAGTAAAGGAAAATATATTTACCTCCAAAGCCACCACGTCCACCACCACGTCCACCGCCGCCGAATCCTCCACGCGATCCACCTCTGGGAGTGGCACCGCCTCTGCCACCACCTCGTCCTCCTCTACCACCACCGGGAGTGAAAGCCATTGATTATATGTAGATGTGATGTGTGTGAGTTACTGCAAACGACAATTGGAACGAGCGGGCAAGTTCAATGGTTTGCTACTGTTGCTGAGATCCGGGGTTGGGAGTTGGGTTGGGGGGAGGGAGGGAGGGTTTGTTTAACAACTTGCTGCTGGCTGGTTGTTGGTGTGAGAGAGAAGAGCTGCAGCGCAGATGGAGGTCAAAAACTTTTTTTTCGCGGTTGCCCACTTTGGGTGTGGGAGGAAAGTGTGCGAGGGCAGCGCGGGGCCGTAAAAGAGCTGCTTTGGGGAATGTTGCCAAGGGTCTCTGTTATGGGATCAATTTGCGGTCTTTGCGGCTGAGTAAGGGTCATTTGCTGCTAGCCATGATGAGATGTATGCCTACTCATAGTGCTACGCATACCTGGATCTCACCCTGCTGCTTGAAGAGTTCCAGAGCAGCTCAACCACCGCAGACGTCCGTCACTCAGTCAGTCAGTCAGTCAGGGCCAGCACACGCCCACTTTCACCATCACGCTTCCCCCACGAACCACTACTGACAGAGCCGACGATGGGGGGCAAAGGGAAGATCTACGGCTACGACTCGTCCGGCTCAGACTCGAGCTCAGAGGAAGAGCTCGAATTCCCAGACCCGACCGGAGACACAACAGAGTTCAACCCATCGCACCGACGGAAGCGGCGCCGTACAGGAAAAGATGCTAAGGAGAGCGCGGCATTGGGGGTGTTTGGCTCGGACAGTGAAGATGAGAGACCTAGCAGTGCTTTTGGAAAACGCGGCGGCGGAGGAGGGCGGCCGTTGAGAGATAAAGGAATGGGCTTCGTGAAGCAGGGCGAGACCGTCGAGGACGGCGATGAATACGAGGGGGAGGAGGAAGAGGAGACAGGACAGTACCCCGAGGACGTCGTTACCGGCTTCGCGGGCCTACGCGGGGACACATCAATGCTCGGGGCCGCCAACAACAACGCCGACTGGGACATCGCCGACGAAGTGCCAAAGCCGCGGCCGCGCTTCGCATTCAGCAAGTTCACCAAAGCCGCCTCCGCCTCCGCCTCCGCCTCCGCTGGGGGCGACTCCGGCGCGTCAACCCCGGCATCCATCAATACCGACGACGAGCCCGAGCGGCCCCGTCTGGGTCTTGGGGGCCGCGCGTTCACCAAGCCCGCGTCTGGGGAGGCGTCGGGTGCTACTACGCCCGGGTCTATGGATGCGCATACGGGACTGGGGTTTGCGCCGGCGTCGCCGCAGAGCGATGCGATGCCGCTGGGGAAGGGGTTTGTGTCGTCGGCGGCGGCGCAGGCGGCGTATATGCCGACGCTGTCGGCCAACCCGCCGCCCGCCGAGGCACCGCAGGTTGTGAGGCCGTCGTTTACACAGGTTGATAAAGGGAGGGGGAAGAAGGGGAAGGGCGAGAAGGATGCGGCGCCGGCTGTTAATCCGAACTCGTTCGCGGCCCGGATGATGGCGAAGATGGGGTATCAGCCTGGGCAAGGGCTGGGAAAGAGTGGAGAGGGTATATTGAACCCTATTGAGGTGAAACTGCGACCGCAGGGTGCCGGTATAGGTGCGATTAGGGAAATGACGCCTGCGGCCCGGGCTGAGGCAAAGCGTGCGCGTAGACTTCGGGGCGAGGAGGTCTCCGACAGTGAAGAAGAGGCAAGGAAGAAGAAGGAGAGAAAGCAACGAAAGCCCGGATCCACGGGTAATACCCCTAGCGGAACACCACTAAGAGTAAAGAAGAACAAGACGAAATTCTTGACTGCAGATGAGATCTCTGCGAGTGCAAAGGGGCTGGAGGTTCCGAGTGCACTAAAGAGCATTGTGGATTATACGGGCAAGGAGGCGAAGCTTTTGACGTCTGCCTCGGGAGTCATGGACAGGGGTTTGTCTATGGAGGATGAGTCTCTAAAGATTGCCAAAAGGGCTCGTAGAGACTTGGAGAGTTTTGCGAGCGAGTGGAAGGGCCTTGAAGATAGAAAGGCTTATATTCAGAAGGAGGAAATAAGACTCACTACTGAGCTAGATGAGCAGGCAGAGGAAATTCGTAGATTACAGGGAATGGTAGATGTAGTGAATAGCCTGCAGGCTTTGTCATTAGGGGGCGAGAGCAACTCCATTGAAGATATAGTAACCAAGCTGGAGGTATTGCAGTCGGAGTATAAAAATGAGATCGAGGACCATGATCTTGCGGAGGTTGCTGTTGCGGCTTTACATCCATTGGTAAGCTATCCATACCACCTCATCTTTTCGACTCAATACTAACTTTACACAGTTCCGAAAAGAACTTGCAGGTTGGGCTCCTCTTACGGATCCGTTCCTATTTTTCGAGCACTTCCGCCGTCTCCGTGCCATCCTCCACATCCGTAGTAAAGAAGACGCCGAAGCCGAATATGCCAGAAACGGCTTCGTATCAAAGTCCAAATACACCACCCATTACGAAAGCATGATGTTCTCCCTCTGGCTGCCCAAAGTCCGTTCCGCAATCAACAACGACTGGGACGTCCACAAGCCCTCTCCCGTCCTCACCCTCCTCGACATCTGGACCTCCCTCCTCCCCCCTTCATCCACGCCAACATCCTCACCCAGCTCGTCCTCCCCAAGCTCAAAACCGCCGTCTCCGACTGGAACCCGCGCGGCGGCAAACGGAGGCGCACCAGACAGCCCCCGCACCTCTGGGTCTTCCAGTGGCTCCCCCACCTCGGCCACAACATGGAAGACCTGCTGCGCGACGTGCGCCGCAAATTCGGCGTCGTCCTCGACGCCTGGGATCTTACAAAGGGCACCGTCGACGGCCTCGACGCCTGGAAAGAAGTGTTCGGCCCCGGCGAGCTCGAGAAGCTCCTCATCCGCCACCTCCTCCCGCGCCTCGCGCTCAAGCTGCGCTCCGAGTTCGAGGTCAACCCCGCGGACCAGCAGCTCGAGCCCCTCGAGCACGTCCTGGGGTGGCTGCCGTTCTTTCGCGTGTCGACCTTTGCGCAGCTGCTGGAGGCCGAGTTCTTCCCGAAGTGGCTCAACATCCTGCACCAGTGGCTCACGTCATCGCCGAGCTTTACGGAGGTCCAGGAGTGGTACACGTTCTGGACCGGCGTCTTCCCCGCTGAGCTCCGCGGCTCGCCGGCCGTGAGAGCGGGCTTTAATAAGGGCCTCGATATGATGAACCGCGCGCTCGACCTGGGCGCCTCCGCGTCGACGCTGCTCCCCGCGCCCGCGGCGGGCCCCGCGAAGCCGCCGCCGAAGGCGTCCACTAAGGCTGGGCAGCAGAAGTTTTCAACGGCGGCGGAGGCGCTGCCGGAGACGACGTTCCGCGAGGCGGTGGAGGACTGGTGCGCGGAGCACAATCTGCTGCTTGTGCCGCTGCGCAAGGCGCATGAGGGGACGGGGGTGCCGCTGTTTAGGATTACGGCGAGCGCGAGTGGGGGCGGGGGTGTGGTGTGCTATTTTGTGGGCGATGTGGTGTGGGCCATGGAGAAGAAGAATAGGGAGGTGTTTGTGCCCGTGGGGTTGGAGGGCGTGTTGGAGAGGGTGGAGGGGAGGTAGGGAGGTGGGGGATGTATTAGTAGTGTAGTGGTTAGCTGGGGGGGGGGGGGGTAATGAGATATGTAGAAGGGTGAGAATTGGGAGTGAAGATTGCGGGCGTAATGGATCAGATTAGAGGTGATACTTGGGCGTGCGTAGGCTTGATGGTCTTGTCTCGGTGTCTTGCATCTGTTCATCTTGATATACACTCTACAAGTCTATGTAGTGATGTCCCAAATTGCTGCGAAGCCATAATACCCCGCTCTCACTCATAGTTCCCTGATAGATATCGACTACCGTAATTCCATCATCATGATCTGTAAAGTAGAAACTACCGAGACTTTATTCATCTATCAATTAGCCTGTGTATTTGGTGGGTGAGATACGCTCCGCGGGGGCGTTCTTAGCACAGACTTTGACCCATCGAGACGGCATCATAAAGGAGAGATCTGTTCATCAGAGGGTTATCAGCCCGTCAGCATTGGCATCAAGACGAAAGGTGAGGCGCCGGCTCTCAGTGTAACACTTCATAGATATTTGGTAGCATCACAGCCCAGCACTCGCCCTCTCTATCCCGCCATTTCTCAACCAATAAGCATAAGAAATTTTTTTATTAATGCACAAATAACATCTACAAACCTATCGAATCTTGCCGCAAGAGAAAAAAATAAGAAAAAGAAGAAAAAATATTGTATGTGTTAGCAACAGCACGTTTCGATCGTGCGACCTCCGGGTTATGAGCCCGGCGCGCTTCCACTGCGCCATGTTGCTGTGAGTGTTCTGCGTGCCGTGTGGGCTTTGACCTGGGTTGCTTAGGGCACGCGTAGAATGCGGGAGAGGGCTCATTGGGGGGGGGGGGGGGGGGTTTGGTAGGAGGTGTATTTTTTGCTGGAGATAAAATCATTGACATTCTCTTTGTCAACTATACAGTTTTTTTTTCTTTCTTTCCTCACAGTTTTGCCGCAATCACTGCATTGTCAATGTTCAATTTGTAAGTTGTTAGCCGTAAGCTTGGTTTAGGACTGTTGACGTGATTTAATTACATATATATATAGAATTGAAGCCATGCCCCCCAAACGTTTTCTTATAATGATTGGTTTAAGTTACAGCCGGAGGACCCCATTGCTATATATATGCTCTACAGTAAGTACTTCACCCCGATATGACTGACTTCGGGCAGACCGGGCCTTAAACCCCCTGATTACGAGGACATGCTCAGACGGCCCCAAGACTCGTACGCCACAAAGCACAGGAAACCGGGTGTCTTTGTGCTCCCTATTGTAATTCTGCTTATTTTTTTTTTTACTTTCGGGTTCCGGGTCATATAGAGATTCTACCATGTACGTATGGCGTGTTCTTTAGTGTGATATGATACACGCACTGTGATACGACAGCTTGTCTATATAGTGAGAGTGTTTTACACACCAGTGATTATTCAAGGACCTACACCCGAAGCTACCAATTCTGTCTCTGGGGGTGTTTATTCTCGGTTGGCCTGTGCTCTTCACAAGAAACAGCCTGAAAACGTCTCTTTATTGGGCAATTGGATTACAGGAAGCTCTAGTGAGACGTCCTGAAACTCGTTTGATCCTATGGTGTTTTGGGGGGCTCCGGACCGCTATTATCATCGCATGGATCTTTCGAATGCACAACTGCATGCGTTTGGGAAACTATCGATATAATAAATTTCATAGGGGGGTTAGTAGTGGTTACGAGGACCAGGATAGAAAAGATAAATACTATCTCTGGCGGTCTCTGTATCCCGTGGCACTAGACCGGAGCATCATAGTCATCTGAACACGAGTTCGATCCAATGGTATCCATCCAAACAACCGAGATTCTCACCAAACAGCACACACACACACACACAATCTCCCAAACCCGATTCAATCATTTCAATTAACCAAAAAACTAATATATACAACAAAAAAGGGAGAAAGAGATGTATCAAGCCCTCCATGCACGACTTCGACGTAGATTAGATTGCACCGAGAAGTGTTTGGTAATGGGTATGAAAAAGATCGATATCGGCACGATAAAGAATTAATTCCTTCAGACAACTCGAAGATGGAGGGCGCTTCGGTGCTGTACACACATATGCCTGTTTTGGAGGGAAGGGGTATGAACAAACGAACAAAACAAAAAAAGAAAGAAGAAAAAGAAACGGAAATCTGGAACAGGGAAACAGCGGAGAGCGGAACAAAATGCTGATATGATATGTATTGAATTACTATACATCAAGCCGGCCGGCACCGGACAGAACCCGTAACAAGCAACCTGAAATCTTTCCGCGAATCAGCACTCCATCTCTCGCAGGCAAGGCAATGAGCAAACAGGGGGCAGCAACGAAGTGGAAAGATCATAAATAAAGACACAAAAGAGTTTATCGTCATCTGCAGGCCTTGAGGGGCCTGCAGGAAAAAATCAGGGGATTGACAGATTCGATTTTTTTAATCATTTCGGAGGAAGACAGGAATTGAGAAACGTGAATTGGATTGGCTTACCTTTATGTGTTAGTGAGCGCGCGTGGTGGTTGGTGGTCATGGTTGGTTGGTTGGTGATGATGATGGAATTGGTGGTCGTCGGAGGAGGGAAAAAAAAAAGGTTCGGAAGTAAGGTCTCGTGGGTTAGGGTTCGGCGAAATCAGTGACTGGCTTTGAGGCCGGGTAACACTTGGCGGGGCAGGAGAGGGTCATGGGATGTCACTCGCGGATTTTTGATCATTTCCGATGGAGGGCCTGTGGATGTGATTGGACAATTCAATCTACACCACATACCGCCATAACTCGAAATCAAAATTACTTGTACGGGAAACTTCTGATGCAGATCGATGCCATTCAATGACTCAAGTGGTAATCCCTGGATGGCCAATTTTTTCGAGTTTTGGCGGTATAGTTATTTTCCAAGGTCTTTTCCAGAGGAATAATTGACTGATTGATAATACAGAACAAATAGTGAATCAGAATGATATTTATACTTCTGACTCGGCAAAGCAAAAATACTTGCAAAAAACTTTTAATACGGAAAGAGACAGTTAGTAGCCGACAGGAAATTACTACAATACAGGCACAGGCATGGGATCTATCTATTCATCGTCCTCCTCATCGTCCTCCTCCTCCTCCTCCTCATCTTCCTCCTCCTCCTCATCATCATCATTGCCATCCTCCTCATCATCACTAGCATCCACCCCCAACACCTCCTCCTCCTCCTCCTCATCATCCCCCTCCCTCCCCCTCCCCCTCTCCTCCTTCATACTCTCCTCCAACATCTTCATCTTCTCCTCCCTCACCTTCCTCTGACTCACCACATACGCGCCCAACGGCGTCCTCTCCCACTCCACCTCCCTCATAAACGCCTCCGCCTCCGCCACCCTATCCGGCGCGAACTCCACGCCGCTCCGCCGCTCCTGCACATACCTGCTGTTCGCCTCGAGCTTGCCCACCAGCACCTCCATCGCATTGTTCAGCTTGGCGTTCTTGCTCTTCTTGACGGCGCGCTTCGCGAGCACGATCGCGGGGATCGCGAGCTCGGGGAACGCGATGCTCTTGGCGTGCAGCACGTAGAACTCGGCCAGCAGCTCCACGACCTGCTCGCAGACGCCGTCCTGGTAGGTCTTGCTGCGCAGGTACGACTTGGGCGCGCGGATGGTGGTGCCGAAGTCGAGGGGCTTGAGGGTGGAGGGCTTGGGCTTCTTCTTGAGCTCGGCGGAGGAGAGGACCTCGAAGATGAGGGGCGAGAGCGGGATGTAGACGTCGGTGGCGCGGGAGATTCGCAGGAGGGAGCGGGTGAGGTAGAAGCGCAGGGGGAAGTACTGTGCGGTGGGGATGAGGCGGATGGCGCCGAGGGTCACTTGGATGAGGGGGTAGATGAGCGGGCGCAGGGGCGAGGGGCGGCCGAGGGTGGCTTCGGTGAGGGTGTCGCAGTGGGTGGAGAGGACGCGGGAGAAGAAGTCGAGGGAGTGGACGTATTGCCAGTTGTAGATTGTTTTGTAGGACTCCTGGGATTTGTGTTAGTAGAGCTCAATATAGGGGTAATGACAGAGCCAATGACAGAGCCAATGATAATGGAAATGATCGGGACGACATACCTTAGAGTTGTTTGTGATGCTGTTCCGCAGATGCACGGCGAGCTGGCGGATGTAGCCAAAGCCAACCTGATATCCAACCTTCTCCATGCCCTCCATTCCAAAGACCTCCGCCGCCGAGTTCTTCATGAGATTGATACCCGCCATAGTATACCCGCTCGTCTGCCTACTCGCCTTGACCAGCCCCGCATACAGCGCCTTCGCACAAATATCTTTCAGCCCCTCATCGCCCACGACGGCCGTCTTCCTGATCACCAAGAATGCCGTGATCCTCGTGGTCTCATCCGACGAGTGCGCGCACCAGATATCAGTGACAGTCTTAATAAAAGTCTTCAAGAACTTCCTAAACGACAAAAAATACGGCACCAGCGGCACCGCCGAGTTGAGCAGCAGCCTCTGCGTCGCCGGATCCGTCAGCGTCGGCAACAGATGCAGCAGCGACGCGCTGTGCGACTTCACCAACGGGCTCAGCGTGCGGTACTTCTTCGTCTCCATGGCCACGCGCACACGCCCATTGGCCGACTCCTTGACCGGCAGATGGTGGTTCAGCGCATCCGGGACGTGCTTGAGCGCTACGATGAGCAGCTCGTGGTACACGTCCGGGTTGGTGATGGAGTACTTGTAGCCCCCCGCGGCGGGGTTCTCGCCCTGCACGTCGTTGACGTGTGCGGCGGCGCGGAAGGCAAGCACGACGTTGCGCAGCGCGCGGAGCGAGTTCTGCTCGGTGAGGGCGGTCTTCCAGGCGGCGACGTCCTCGAGAGTGACCTCCGTGCTGGAGTTGGCGTCCTCGGCGCCGGCTTTGGCCATCTTGCGCTTCTTGTTCTTCTTCTTGGGCTCGTCCTCGTCGTTCTCGCCGTCGGAGAGGTCGTCGATGCCGGCGAGGTCGTCGTGCTCGGCGGCCGTGAAGTCGAGCAGCTCGGCGTCGTTCTCCTTGAGATACTTGAAGAACTCTGGGTCCTTCTCGGCCAGCGCCGAGAGATCCTTCATATGGGCCTCGAGCTCATCCGCACTGCCCTCCCCCTCCTCCTCTCCATCCTCCTCCCCAGCTGCAGCCTCCTCCTCGTCCCTCTTCCTCTTCTTCTCCCCCTCCTTCTCCTTCTTCTTCTCCTTCTCCTTCTCCTTCTCCTTCTTCCCCTTCCGTCCCTTCTTCGGCACCACCCCAGCCTCAGGAATCTCAAAGCCGCCCTGAAAGAACTGCTCGACGCTCATATCCTCAAACAGCTCCGGCCCATCGCGCTTCTCCTTGGCCTTCTGCTCAGCGCGCGCCTTCGCGGCGGCCTCGTCGTCGTCGGTGATACCGAGATCGTCCTTGCGGCGCTTCTTGTTGCGGTCCCGCAGTGCGAATTGCTGCTTGATCTTGGCCTGGGCCTTGCGCTGGTCGAGCGTGTCTTTGAGGTGGTTCTTTTCGAACTTGCGGGTGGACTTCTTGATGCGGCCCATTTTGTATGTAGTTAATTGAGGTGCTGTGAGGAGGTGTGAGAGGACCGGTTGTGGTGTGCGGGCGTCCGGTGCTGCGGGTGTGCGGGTGTGCGGGTGTGCGGGTGTGCGGTTGTGTGCGTGCGGGTGGGAAAAGTTTCTTGAGAGAAAATATTGGGTTGGCGTCTTGGCGCTCGCTCATGCGGCTCGCAGCAGCACGGACACAGAAAATATCAAAAAGTCTCGCACCGCAAACCTCAACCCCACAATATTAACTATCACCAGTATCAAAAACCTCGATTCCACCCACAATTGCCACCAGAATGCCCAAGAAACCCGAGAAGAAGAAGCCCAGCACGGCCCCCACCGACCGTGCCCCCGTCACCAGTCAGTTCCCCTCCTCCTGCCCCCCAAAAGAAGACCCCCCCCCCCCCCCCCAAAACCTCAATTGAACCCGCACTGACAGACAGCCCTCCAGATGACTCCCGCTTCGCCTCCGTCCACTCGGACCCGCGCTTCGCCATGCCGCGCCGCAAAGACGCAAAGATCGCCATCGACAAGCGCTTCACGCGCATGCTCAAAGACGACGACTTTGCGCAAAAGGCCTCCGTCGACCGCTACGGCCGCAAGCTCGCAAAGGACGCCGGCAAGGAAGAAATCAAGCGGTACTACCGCCTCGACGACGACGACGACGATGACGCCGAAGGCTCCGGCTCCGAGGACGAGGACGAGGATGAGGATGAGGAGGACGAAGGCAAGCCCCGCTACGACCCGGCCCGCGGCGAGGGCGTCATCAGCTCCTCGGACGACGACAGCTCCGACGAAGAGGAGGACGAGGAGGTGGACGCCGCAGAGGAGGACCAGATTGCGAGGGAGGCCATGCAGCGCGAGGAGATCCCCACGGGCGACGTCACGGCGCGGCTCGCCGCCGTCAACCTGGACTGGGACCATGTGGCGGCCGTGGACCTGATGGCGGCGTTCTCGTCGTTTGCGCCGAGCGGCGGGCGGGTGCTGAGGGTCACGGTGTATCCGTCCGAGTTTGGGCGCGAGCGCATGGAGCGCGAGAATATGGAGGGCCCGCCGAGCGAGATCTTTAGGCCGAAAGAGGACGAGGAGGAGATTGATCCCGATGAGGAGGTCACGGTCAAGACGCTGGTCAAGGAGGATAAGGGCCAGGAGTTTGATAGTGCGAAGCTCCGCAACTATCAGCTGGAGCGGCTGCGGTATTACTATGCGGTGGTCGAGTGTGATAGGCCCGAGACGGCCCACCACATCTACGAGCAGTGCGACGGCGCGGAGTATGAAGCCACTGCAAACTTCTTTGACCTGCGGTTTATCCCCAACGATACAAGCTTTGAGGACGATACGCCGCGGGATACGTGCACGGAGGCGCCGGCGAACTACAAGCCTAATGACTTTGTCACTGATGTATATCTCCCCACCCCATATTCCCATATCTCCCCATACTCCCTCCCCTTCTCCTCCTCTCCCTCTCTTTATACTCCTCTCTATATAACATATAACATATAAAGCATCTACTAACACCCCCCTAGGCCCTGCAACACAGCAAAGTAAAACTAACCTGGGACGCCGACGACACCGCGCGCCAAACCGCCGCCAAACGCGCCTTCTCGCAAAAGGAAGTCGAAGAAATGGACGTCAAGGCCTACCTCGCCTCCGACTCCGACTCCGACCCCGAGGACGAGTCCGCAAAAGAAAAATACCGCGCCCTCCTCTCCGGCACCCTCGCCGGCCTCAGCGGGAAGGGCAAGAAGGACGAGCAGCCCACAGGCGATATGGAGATCACATTCACGTCCGGCCTGAGCGGGAAGGAGAAGGGCGCAAAGGTCATCGAAGACGCCGAAGACGGTGAACCCGCAGAGACAACGATCGAGAAGTACGCCCGCAAGGAAAAGGAGCGGAAGCAGCGGCGCAAGGAGAAATCCAAGCTCCTCCGCGAAGGCGGCGCCGCCGGCGACGACGACTCAGAAGCGGAGGCCCCTGCAGCAGCCGTAGACCTCGGCTTCGACGACCCCTTCTTCGCGGCCGACCCCGTGGCCGTGAACCCCAAGAAGGAGAAGAAGGCGAAAGCGAAAGCGCAGCGCGCCGCCGAGGCCGCCGAGGCCGCCACAAAACGTGGTGAGCTCGAGGCGCTGATGGCCGACGCGGACAGGGACGGGCTGAACCACTTTGACATGAAGCAGGTTGTCAAGGCGGAGAAGGCGGGGCGGCATGGGGGGAAGAAGGGGAAGGGGAAGAAGCGGTCGCGGCAGGCGGAGGAGGCGCTGGAGGAGGGGATGCAGCGGGGCTTTGAGATTGATGTCGGGGATGAGCGCTTCAAGGCTGTGTATGAGAGGAATGAGTTTGCGATTGATCCGACGAATCCGAGGTTTGTGAAGACGAAGGCGATGGAGAAGCTGCTTGGGGAGCGGCAGAGGAGGGGGAAGATGGGGGCGGGTGGGGGGGAGAGGGGGGAGGAGCAGCAGCAGGGGAAGAGGAAGAAGGTGAAGATGGGGGGCGTGGAGGGAGGGCCGAAGAGTGATGAGGTGAAGAGACTGGTGCAGTCGCTGAAGACTAAGAGTAAGCAGGCGAAGAAATAGGTAGACTAATGGCTTGTAAATACTGGAGTGATTTGTATTGTATTTAGATCAACAAAAGCGTTGTTTTGATTTCCAAACTATAATTGCTCGGGCTTGTGAAGTGAACAGAGAACTGATTGATTTATTCGTTACGTGAATATTGCTTGTGAACAGAGAAAAAAGCGTTAGGTGTGCAGTACTATATGGAGCGGTAAATGTGTCGAAAGTAATTTTACCAACGGTAGTAAATTATTTACCACCGGTGGTATAAGCACTGAATTTCAGTCATTGTGTCTGCACGCTATCCTACATTAGTACATTTCCACCGCTATAAACACTGGGTTTCAGTCTTTATGCTGCGCTATACTAAATAAGTAAATGTTCAATCATTAATGCCGGGGCTTGTGAAGATTTCCCACCGGTGGACAATTTTCATATATATTGGCATTATATGGCCCCTTTTGGCCAAAAGGTCTGTGCTTTTATCATAAAAATTAGCATTATAGGGTATAAATACTGGTATTACTTTCACCACTAGTGGTAAAATAATTTACTACCGTTGGTAAAATTACTTTTGACACATTTACCGCCCCATAGTACTAAACCCAAAATTTATATGCGTAGAAATTATTAGCACTTATCAAGGCATAATAAAGTCTGTTTCTTGGTTATGCCATACCTGACCTGACCTGACCTGGCCACGACATATTTCAACTCTGGTACAAAGAAGATCATGCTATCTAGATCTAGATCCAATAACCAACTACCAAAACCCTTATCAGTTCCCACCTTGGCATCTGATATCTCTCTGGCTTACCCTTAGCAGAGCGGCCAAAACCAACCCATTTTGGCAAGTGGCAAGTCCTTCTTACTATAAATTCATAGTTTACCTCCGCCTCTTCAAAACTCCATAGTGCTGCTTTGACCGGGCTAGCTAGTCGCCAGCCAGGACTACTACCCCCGAGCAGAGCAGCACGACCAATCTCTTCCGAGTCCCCTGGTCCCCCAATCCAAAATCTTTTTGGAACGGGAACATGGCTCGTTAACCGGTTTCCCCGTCTTTTTTGGGACGGGGGCCGGCGAAGCTACGGTTGGAGCAATCTATGGTGGGTTAGGGTTTCTTTTGGTTTTTTCTTTTCTTTTCTTTTTTTTTTGTTTTTTGTATATAGATAAAAATACTGAATATTTTTAATCAATTGGTGTTTCTTCTTCTTCGATCGCACTGTACATGTAGTCAAGCAATCAAGTCTTCACTCTTTCTTGCGTAGTGGGGTTTTCTTGGCACGCGAGTGATCATCTATGACTCCATCAGCACACAAGATCTCTAAGCCCTGGAATATCCTTTCTATGAAAATACCCTGTAATGTAACGTTGAATGATACTATATTCTTATTATAAACAGCCTACCCCCCTTACAGAGCTATATAAATACATGATAGGCCATAGCTATTTCACAAAACAACTACAAGTACCCCAAACGCTTCTTGTTGTATGCCGGCCGGATCTCGTCAGAGTCGAATCTGGAGCTGAAAGAACTCTCATAGATACCAATCACGCTCCACTCATACTCTACGCTGACTGGTGAGTCATCCTGCACGTTCCACACACTGACTGCAAATGTGTTCTTGCCGTTGTAGTTCAGCACCCCCGGCGGGACAGGGTAATCGATTTGGTTTCCAACTTGCGGCATGTACTATTCTTTTGGTTAGCGGACCAGTCACACGTGCACACTGACCTGGGAAGGAGCTCGTCAAACTAACCTTGCCGTACTGATATCCATTCACCCACAGTTGAACACGGAGCTTCTGTCCAGCCGGCGAGCCGATTCTGATTTGAACAGGCACGTCATAACCCTCCGGAATAGAGAACTTGACCTCCTTTCGGAAGAAGGTGACAGTTGCGTTGGGGACGGTCATCGACTTTGTCTCCGCCCATTTCGACGAATCAAAGCCGTTCATGTGCCAGCCCGCACGCTCAGCAGTTATACCACCTAACAAACCCCCGTCATCAGCAATCAGTCCCATAAGTCAATGAGTTCAAAGGGTAGTTTACCTTCGTTGTAAGGCCCTCTCACAGGGTCGATATTATCCGTTCCCCCGGCATTGCCCTGGATGGTCCACTTGGTGAATATCGCCGGCTGCGATCCCTTCAAGGAGATATCGTAGATACCACGATAGTTCAGTGCAGCCGCGAACTGGTCCTTCCCGTTGTGGTCCATCAGGATCACCAAGACGTTCTCTTTATCCGCCTTTACGGCGCCCGCAGGGAAAGTCCAAGTGCTGTTCCCAGCAGAGGCCATGCTGCCAGTCCAGGAGCCGACGAACCTCCCGTTGAGCCATGCGGAGTAACCGCCCGCTGTGCCGAACTGAAGGTTCATGTAGACGCCCGTGGTGCCATTAGTGGCCGAGAAGCGGCCTCGGTAAAGGACGTAGCCGTGGAAGAAGCCGTAGTCGTCGGCGTAGAGAACGGGGAAGTAGGCTGGCTTTGTGGGGTTGGGACTGGCGGTCTTGTTTGCGACAATCCACTTTGAGTCGTCGTACTCGGGGAAGACTTCGGGGAGGGAGTCTTTGTACTTCCAGCTGCCCGAGTTGAGTTGGCTGAGGACATCCTTCTCGGTGAGCTTTGGGCCTGCAAGGGTGGCGGTGAGGATTCCGGCCTTCGACCTGGAGAACTTGGAGATCTTCTTGCCGTTCCAGGTGAGGGACTTGATGTTCTTGGGGGCATGGACGAGGAGCTCGGTCTCGTCGGATGTGTCGCCCGACAATTGCAGCTCGTTCTTGGAAATCACGGCTTTGCGGACCAGGCGAGGTCCGTGGACAATAAGGTTTTTGTCCAAACCTGCCAACGGGTCCTTGTTGAGCTTTGGGACCCAAGTCTTCCAGGCAACACCCCTGTCAACCATCACGACCTTGAAACCATCAAACTGGACAACTGAGATGCCAGCTTCCTGGTGGAAGTTGATGATCATCACCCCGGCCTTGTCGGCATGGAAGTTGATGCTGCAGCCGTCGCATGTCTGGAGTACTTCCTTCTTGTTCTTGGCTTTGTAGCCCTTTACTACGAATTCTGCCTGCTCGCCGTTGGGGACCCAGAGTACGAGGGTGGGCTCGTTGTCGACAATGGAAGCTGTGAGAATCTCGGCAGTCGAGTAAAGAAGTGAGAATTTCCCGAATGGGAAGTCGGACACTAGGATCTTTGCTGCGAGACCCCAAAGTGTTGCTGCACCGTATTGCGGGACTGTCAGATCTCCCTCTGAGGTCGTCATGCTGACTGTGAAGTTGTCCTCGGTGGTGGCATTGGAAGTAGAATGGCTATTCATTCTGTCAGAAATAACTTCGAAAGAATGGGGCTTAGGGACTCACCGTAGAACATAGAACCTGGAAAGGGTTTCTGGGTTCTCCATGAGCGAGCAGTTGACGTTTGGAGAGCTCGTGAGCTCAATTCCTGCATATACACGCTCTGTCTGCGCAAGGTCACGGGCAACATCAATGAAGAGCCCGAGTGCCTTTCCTTCCCAGAACTTCTCGCCAATATCACGGGATTCGGAGATTGCTGCGGCGTAGTCATAGGATGTCCCAGAGAGAGGATAACCAATGTTCCCCCACTATTCATATTAGTTGGGAATTTCGGTAATAAGGTGGGGGGTACAAACATTGGTTCCGCCAAAGAAGACATAGATATTGATGATTGTGATCCGTTCACCGATATTGTGGCGGTACATAATCTAAGATAATCAGCTCTTGATCCCAAGCAAAGGAGGATTAGGAAACATACATTGACGAACTCGGAGTTCTGCTCAGAGATACAACCACCCTGTGGACCTCCCCATGGGTTATAAGAACCACCTTGGAACTCTGGCAGATACGCAGGCTGGTTCTTTGCAGTCTCGAGGAAATAGTCATAGTAGTATGCTACGGTATAAGGATATCTCCCACCACATTCGCTCAGAACACAAGACCAACAGTATGGATATGTGTCTACTCCAGAGATATCGACAGCACCGCGAGGATCATAGTCGGTACTCCAACCCTTCACATAGGTGTTAGGGTTGTTGTGTGTCAGCGGGATATAAATTCCGTTTTTGCGGGCCTGTGCCTCGAGTTTCTATCTTCTTTGTCAGTATCGTATTCCCACAACATCCATGGATTGAGAATTCTCAAACCTCCATATAGTCAATATTGACCAAATTTGGAGGGCAGGTCTTGCAATCTCCAATTCTCTGGCTACTAAACTCATTCTCGATCTGCATCAAGATAAGGTTGCCGCCATTCTGCACCTGGTACGGCTCAAGCAGTTTCTCATATGTGTCCATGTACGGTGTGTACGCCTCTACAAAACGCGTATCGTTATTTCTTAGAGACCCATAGGCACCGGTAGTAACCCATTGAGCGTGGCCACCACTATGCGATTCTGCGTTCACATATGGTCCCGGCCTAAAGATCACATACATGCCCAGCTCCTCCGCCAGTTCTAGTATAGGGCGTGGATTGTGGGCTGTGTTTTCAAAATCAAGGACTCCCTCTGCTGCCGAGTGGTAGCCCCAATGGCCATAGATTGAAAACGTGTTGAAGCCATGAGCTTTCATTTTCTCGAGGACATCGCGCCATAGATGAGGAACTGGAATTCTCCAATAGTGCTGTTTGTGTCAGTGTTAGCCATTGAAGTAAGAAATCTCTCGGAATTGAGCCGAGTGGCGTATATGGCACATACAAATTCTCCGGACCAGACAACTAGTCTCTCCCCTTTCACAATTAAACTGTAGTGATCCCATTGTACTGCGTCCGTATAGTTGGTGCTGCTAATGGGCCATGCCGTCTGGGCAGCCACAGCCACCGCAAATGCGAGTATCGACCAAAACAACTTCATCTCTATAGAGCTAGTCGCCAAGGTTACAGATTTCAGTCCATTACTCGGCATCAATTATATACAAATCCAGCTCTTGCCTTCGGGTTAGTTTTGGCCGACGAACTTGAGCATTTACAGACATATGCCCGATCTGCCATAGCAGCTAAGACTCTTTG